ACCTTTGATCCTTTTATTTTCATTTTTGTATTTCTTTGTGGGTCTTTATTACTAATATTATTATTATTATTATTATTATTATTATTATTATTGTTGTTATTATTATTATCATCATCATTATTATTATTTTATTATAAATTTGGTATTTATATTAAATTTTTTATTTACTATGAATTATTATTATTATTAATACATTTTTGCCACCCAGGCCCCAATGTGGGTCAGTGACCTGTGCCTGGGTGGGCTAATGCCCGTAAAAAAAATTAAATAAATAAATAAATATATATACCTGTACTTATGACAGTCCAACTACTCTACTACAAGTATATGAGTTCTTGTTGGATATAAAATCATTTAATATACAGTCAACCCTCACTTTACGTGGTCCCACATTCCGCGTTTACGCGGTGCCTTGCCAGAACCTAACGTGCTCACATTACGCGGTGCGTGAACCCCATTATGCAGAGAGTGTCCGGCGCGACGCTATTTTTAGATTCGTCCCACCCGCCTGCCTGCCTGTGCTCCTCGCCTCTCCCTCCTCCTCCCTCTGCTTGGGCAAGCCGCGCGGTAAGGTTGCGCAGTGTGTGTCTTTGTTGCGTTATCACTGACGTCATATGACATATCAGACTGTGATTGGCCATGCATCCCTACCCCCCTCTGCTGCTAGCTGTAATTGGCTTAAAGTATTATGACGTGTCCACCCGGGGGAGGGAGGGAGGGAGGAAAGACGATCCTTGACCTAGCAGCGCCAGTTTCATCCCTCCACGCCAGACCGTGTAAACGTGCATCCATTGTTCTCTAAAATGGCTTCCGCCGGACCACCACCCCCAGAAAGAAACCTTTCCTTACCTGGACCCAGCGGCACTAAGCCAAAGAAGACACGACATTCCTTAAGCTACGAGGTGAAGTATACCATCATCCAAGAGTTGGAGAAAGGAACAAGGCAGGTTGATTTGACGCGCCAGCATGGTGTGAATGAATCTACGATTCGAACAATAAAGAAGGATACAGCCAAGATAGAGGAGCACATGAAGATCACAAAGTCTACAGGTGCTTCTATGATCAAGTATTTTCACAACCAGGTGCTTCTCAAGGCAGAAAAATTACTTGTGAGGTACTTGGTGAGTCAGGCGCGACGGAACATGGCAGTCGACACGAGCTCTGTTAAGGACTACGCACATGAACTGTACATTGCAGTGGCACGAAAGATGGGAATTACAGAGCCCAAACCCTTTAATGCTTCCTCTGGGTGGTGACAGAGGTTTAAGATCCGGTACAAGATCACCAATATAAACATTGGTGGTGAAGAAGTTAGTGCTGACCGTGCTGCGGCTAGGGAATTTCCTCCGTTTTTACGTGAGATTATGGAGGAAGGACAGTACACCGACGACCAGATGTTTAACATGGACGAATCTGGTCTTTTCTGGAAAAAGCTACCTTCCAAGTCCTTCGTTGTAAAGAATGCCAGCAAGATTCGGGGCCGGAACATGCAGAAGGAACGCATCACCGTCCTGTTTACCACCAATGCCTCCGGTACCAGTAAGCTCAAGTTATCGGTGATCCACACAGCACGCAAGCCGCACGCCTACAAAACCATGGACATGACCAAGCTAAATGTCCACTGGCTGACCGCACGTAAGGCGAGGATGTTCTCTACACTGTCCCTCTCCTGGTTTGATGACTGTTTTGTTCCCGATGTAAAGAAATTCTGTGAGCGACAGAATGTGCCATTCAAGATTTTGTTGCTGCTGGACAACGCACCAGGACACTCGCCCCTACTGTTAGATCGTCACCCCAACGTAAAAGTGGTCTTCCTTCCTCCCAACACTACGTCTATATTACAGCCCATGGACCAAGAGTTAATCTGTAATGTAAAAGCTGCATTCTCTACGAAAAAATTCAAACTCCTGAACGACTACACCAACACCAGGGAAGAGTTGCGCAACCTGAGTGACACCACCACCGATAGCAAGAGCGAAGAAGATGAGGATCAACAGTTGGCACAGCAAAAAATACTGTTCAAACAATTCTGGAGAGTATTTAACATCAAGAAAGCTGTGGACTTCTTGGTGGAGTCATGGGATCAGCTGTCTATTGCTATAATTCGTCACGCATGGAGACATGTGTTGCATGGAATACCAGGTGAGAGGAGGAGTCAATCTGTGACTGGTGAGGTTCAGACTGTTGCAGTAGCAGTGGACCTTGCCAGAGAAGCTGCGCAGACTGTTACAGTTCCAGGCTTCTTCGAGACCACCAACGACGACATCCTGGAGGTGATAATGGAACCTGATGTGACTACCGAGGAGATGGTAGATGATGATGACGACGTCAGTGAAGAGGCAGGTGGTGCGTCATCCCAAGAACAACACTTATCCCATAGTAATGTTAGGGGTGCCATCGAGTGTATCGAGAAAGCCAAGCTCCTCCTTTCCGACGACCCTGACGCAAACAGGTATGAAATCTTCACTACCCAGCTGTTGCAGACTATAGAGCCCTACATCAAGGTGTATCACAACAACATCAACACCAGCCGTCAGCAAAGCATAACAGATTTCTTCGCCCACAACCCACCACAGCCAGCCCAAGCCAGTGATAGTGACAGTGAAGATTACTTTGAGGGATTTGTCAGGGAAGCCCTGACAACTGTAAGTGACAGTGATGGTGATTCACCTAGTAATGGTGATTCACCTGAGGGCCAGTAATCTGCCCTCTGCCTCGGAACCAGCCTCCATCCCCGTATGCCGACCCATCTCTTCTACTAACGTAAGTGTTCCACATAACTTTTAGTTTCCTAACCTAACCTTTATTTTTCCTATGTTAACCTTTATTTTTCCTAACCTAACCTCTTCTATATTACTTGTTTTTTCATACCATCATAAAGTTAAGATAAAATTTTTACTACAACAAAGTTGTGTGTCGTCAAAAAGTGGAGTTTGGGGGTCGGCCCGGACTCTATTTCAATTAATTCCATATGTTATGTTATTCACTTTACGCGTTCCTCACTTTCCGCGGGACCCTGCGGGTTACATTAACCGCGTAAAGTGAGGGTTGACTGTACAGTGAAACCTCTATTTAACAGACTACAGTGTATGGAGAGGAAAGTTTGTTATATCGAGGGTTCGTTAAATATGAAGCTTCTGTCTCATGAACTACATACAGCAGACATGAAAGTCCGTTATATCGAGGATCCATTAGATGTGAAACCTCCATCTAATGGATTATATGGAGAGAAGTCCATTATATGGAGGTTTCACTGTATTGTACTGTACACTAGCAATTTTTGGAAAGACCAACTGAAATGTTGTTGAAGATACCAGTGTGTGTGTGAACAAAGATTGTCAAACCTCAATACAGTATTAAACAGCCGTGTGCCAAAGATTCTTGACAAAATGTTCTACATACTGTATTTAAAACATGAAGTATAAGTCCACTCTCTCACTGTTATAAGCTTACCACATTAACATTAAGTCCAATCTCTCACTGTTATAAGCTTACCACATAAACATTAGGTCCAATCTCTCACTGTTATAAGCTTACCACATTAACATTAGGTCCACTCTCTCACTGTTATAAGCTTACCACATTAACATGAAGTCCAATCTCTCACTGTTATAAGCTTACCACATTAACATTAAGTCCAATCTCTCACTGTTATAAGCTTACCACATTAACATTAAGTCCAATCTCTCACTGTTATATGCTTACCACATTAACATTAGGTCCAATCTCTCACTGTTACTCATATCATTTAGTCTGTTTGAAGTTTTAATGGTCATTACATAATTTCTTTAGTGTTTGAATTACCGTAAGTGAAGAGGAATATATTCTCCTTGCCTTAAAACTATATCTTTTACTGTATTTGATTTCACTTAGAGGAAATGAAGTTGACTTTCCTCTGTGTCTTTCATGCCTGCTTGTTGTTAGTAAACCTCAAGGCTATTACGTTTAACATTCATACTCTATAACAGCAACAGCATAATAACAATAATAATAATGATGATAATAATAATAATAATGATAATAATAATAATGATAATAATAATAATAATTGATAATCAATTCAATTTACCCAAGGACAGGTGACAAAGCCGTGAGATGCTTATTTCCAATAGAGTCCTTATACCAGCAGCATCTGGTGTTGGGAGGGCCACCCATCCTAGTACTGTACTGTACTGTATTAACCAGACCCAACGCTGCTTAACTTCACTGATCAGTTTGCGGATGACACCAAAATAGGGCAGCAGATTAATTCAGGGCAGGGTGCAAATGCACTACAGGAGGATTTAAATAAACTGCAGGGGTGGTCTGAAAAATGGCAAATGAAATTCAACACCAGCAAGTGCAGCGTACTTAATATTGGAAGAATAAATACTGTCAATGTATACAGCCTTAACAACATCAACCTAGAGAAGTCGACTGGTGAAAGAGACTTAGGGGTACTTGTAAGCCCGGACCTACGGCCTAGAAAACAGTGCGTTAATATTTGAAATAAGGCAAACAGAGTACAGTATTGGGTTTTATATCTAGAAGTGTAAGTAATGAGAGTGCAGGGGTCTTATTGCAACTATATCTTGCGCTAGTCAGGCCGCACCTCGATTATGCGGTTCAGTTCTGGTGCCCTTATTATAGAATGGATATCAATTCACTGGAGTCGGTGCAGCGAAGAATGACGAAAATGATTCCGGGACTTAGAAACCTTCCATATCAAGATAGGTTAAAGAAACTAAACTTGCATTCCCTAGAAAGACGAAGAGTGCGGGGAGACATGATAGAAGTATTTAAGTGGGTGAAAGGAATCAATAAACGGGATACAGATAAAGTTCTTATAATATCCGAGCAGGATAGGACTCGGAGCAACGGATTTAAGTTGGATAAGTTTAGATTTAGGAGGGAGATAGGAAGGAACTGGTTCACAAATAGGGTGGTGGGCGAGTGGAACAAGCTTAGCTACTTTGTAGTAAGTGCTGGAACGCTGGAAAGTTTTAAAAGGAGGCTAGATAGATGCATGGATGATAGAGAGTGGTAGTAACTCTCGACAGGAGCTGCTATGCACAGGCCAACCGGCCTATTGCAGACTCCTTATTTTCTTATGTTCAGACAAGACGCAGTGTTTACAGTCAGTCAGCATTGATACTACAGTAATAACAATAACCAGGAATATTAACCAGTGAATGGCATTACTGTATATTAATTTATGCCCACTTTGTCGACTCTAAAAATTTCATATTTTCCCACAATTATCTACTGTCAGTTAATGATGACCTGACCTCACCCAACCAGACCCAACGCTGCTTAACTTCACTAGTTGGACAAGAAACGGTGTTTCCAATGTGGTACTACTGATAGATACCCCGCCTAACCTATCTACTGTACCTAAAGTTTCTTGAATAAAATTGAAACTTCTTTTTAACGAAAAAAAAATTACCTTTTATTAATTCCTTCTTTATCCAGTAATACAGTTACTAAAAATCACTATCAATTGTTACAATAAATAATTTGCGATAGACAAAATCCAGTATTATTCAAATTACTGTATAGGTATCATAAGCTTTTGACCATTCACAATTATACATTTTTTTTAATAAATCATCAAATAATATTAAGTAATAAAATACTGTATCTACAAATATTTTATAAAAAAAATCTTGGTGTTTCCAAGTGTCTTTGCTCTATATACAGTCTTATCTCTTTCTTAAAACATTCAGCCCCGGTGGAGAGATGATGGACAACACATTTATGACTTGGTGAAATGTTTAGTACTCAAGACTGATAACAATAACAGGAGAGCAATATTATAAAATGGCTCAAGACTGTCACCGAGACAATAATTAGTCAAGACTGTTACCGAGACAATAATTAGTCAAGACTGTTACAGAGACAATAATTAGTCAAGACTGTCACCGAGACAATAATTACCGGTAGTCAAGACTGTTACAGAGACAATAATTAGTCAAGACTGTTACAGAGACAATAATTAGTCAAGACTGTTACAGAGACAATAATTAGTCAAGACTGTCACCGAGACAATAATTAGTCAAGACTGTTACAGAGACAATAATTAGTCAAGACTGTTACAGAGACAATAATTAGTCAAGACTGTTACAGAGACAATAATTAGTCAAGACTGTCACCGAGACAATAATTAGTCAAGACTGTCACCGAGACAATAATTAGTCAAGACTGTTACAGAGACAATAATTAGTCAAGACTGTTACAGAGACAATAATTAGTCAAGACTGTTACAGAGACAATAATTAGTCAAGACTGTTACAGAGACAATAATTAGTCAAGACTGTTACAGAGACAATAATTAGTCAAGACTGTTACAGAGACAATAATTAGTCAAGACTGTCACCGAGACAATAATTAGTCAAGACTGTTACTGAAGCAATCATTCACTGGCCATGGAATAAGTTTAACATTGTGTTCTAAGCTACTCCATGGCTAACTGTCAAAAGAAAAGTGAAGACTATTTTAGAGAGCTGCCTAACCTAACCTATCCAATGATCAACGAGTAGTGATGTGACGACAATCCATTTAACAAGAGCTGATCTCTGTCAAGTACAGTATCACACAGAATGTAAACTACTCCAAATCTTGAGTCAAGAATTCTAAAAAAAACCCAAAGTGCGAGACATTCTTAGCATCATCAACACTAGTCTGTAATAAATCTTGGATAGTGGAAACCATTAACACAAGCTACACAGTACATACATACAAATTTTAAAAGCAGATTACACTACCAGTAAAAGTAAGCAAAATTTACCGTAACTAAGACAGTTCAGAAAATTTCCTCTTGTTGTGTTGTTCCACCATAGGGGATGTGGTGACAATGTGAGCTCTGCGGGACAACCACAGTTGGTGGTCGCGGAAGGTCTTGCGCCCAGTATGGAAGAGAGATTTCTCCAGTTCGTCCAACTTGACCATGTGAGAGTTGGCGTCGTCCTCGAGGGAGTTTAGAGACGTGTCCATAATTCCCCGTAGACGTTCTCTCAGCGTCTGAAAAATTATAAATACAGTGAAACCTCTACTTAACACACTACAGTTAAGAGGTTAGTCTGTTAGATCAAAGTCTGTTAAATAAGAAACTTCCTTCGAACACACTCTATGAAAGAAGGTAGTCCAATATATATGAAACCTCAAAGTCCATTATATGGGGGTTTTACAGGTACAGTACAGTACAATACAGCATAGTACAGCTACACTACAGTACAGAACAATACAGTAAAAACTAACCTCTACTAGCAGTGTGCCTAGATCTGGCGCCTCAGTACCAGCAAGAGGTAACAGGTGTTGGCCCAACTCATAGAAGTGTGGAGACAACATGTGTAGATCCACCAAACTTGCATCAGCTTTCAGAATTTCCCTGGTATGAAGATTAAGAAGTACATTTTTTTTTTATACAGGGAATAGCCCACCCGGGCACAGATCATCGACCCACAACAGGGCCTAGGGGGCGAAAAAATAAAAGTAAAAAGAAATTAAAAATAGGAAAGAAAATGATTACAGTATATTAATCTACACCACAAAGAAGCAGGAAAAACAGCTTTTTGAAGTGAGACAGATTGTATGAGTATGGAAACACATAAGAAGGCAGAGCATTCCACAGTTTGGCTGTGTGAAGAAAGAAGGATGTACAGTGGCCCCTCGGTTAACGAACTCAATCCGTTCCAGAAGGTCGTTCGTTAACCGAAACGTTCGTTAACCGAAACCATTGTTTCAATGGGTTTTTGGGTAATTGGTTCCAGCTCACCGAAAATTTCCTAAATTCAACAAAAATGGTAGAAAAGTTCACTTACTTTGAGGTGTGTATGTAGAAGGCTCCTGGATGATGATGATGATGGGATTTAGAATGGGGGTGGAGGAGAAGGAAGAAGAGAAGGCATTGGGGTGGAAGAGAAGTCACCCCATGGTGCCATTTCACCCATAAAATTTTAGCTCTCTGGTTTAATTCAAGATTATTTTCTTTAAATCAACGCTGCACTGCATTATATATTGTCAATATATAAAATATATTTCAAAATGACCAATAATTTGCTTGGAAACACAGAAAAAAAGCGTTTAGTTGAAGAGAGTCTCAAGCAAGATGTTACCTCCAGTGAAAACAGAGAGAGACTGACGCCTGTTTGCTGTGTTAAGAGGCTGGATGCCGCGCATTAAACTAGTCACTTTACCTTCAATTTTGTTCAATAATTGTTAAAATGACTAAAAAATTGAATATTAAACTTTTAAAATTATTGAATAGTATAAACTTCTTGATATTTACAAAAATAGTAAGGAATTTAAGCCCTAGAACCGATTAATGTATTGGCGGACTGATACTAAAGCTGGTTGCCCGGTCAGTGCAAGCGAAAACATGTTGAGGTCGGTTCGTAAGAAGTTCGTTAAGCGAATTTTTTTTCGTTAACCGAATTGAAGATCCTTATGGAAGGCAGTTCGTTAATCGAAATTACGTTAACCGAGGTGTTCGTTAAACGAGGGGTCACTGTACTATAACGGGTTATTCTAGTGTGACCGACATCCACAGAGAAACGGTTGGCACCACGGGCAAGACGAGTGATACGAGCCCACGGCCTTGCCAGCGGTACACAGGATGCCAAATCTACCAAACATTGCCCGTTAAAGTACTGTACACCCGTAAAAGAGCGTGAACTAACATTGCGGCGAAGAGAAAGGGATGAAAAATTATCAACTAAAGGAGGAGAGTTAATAAGACGAAATGCCTTTGATTCCACCCTATCAAACAGTTGGACAGAAGAAGAGCCACCCCGGATATGAGAGCAGTACTCCAAGTTAGTACAAATGAATGCCTTATATATACTTGAAGTAAATACTCAGGAGTGAAGTAGCTACGGCATCTGTACAGCATTCCTAGCTTTTTGGGAGGCAGCTTTAGCAATGTTGAGGATGTGTGGCTTCCATGCCATATTAGAGGAAATGGTGAGGCCTAGTATATCTGTTTTAGAATTTGGCAGAATGATAGCATCCTGAAATGTGATTGGTGGGAGATCATCTAATTTGGAAAGTGTGATTGGTAAATACTTTGTTTTATTACAATTGAATTTAACCAAGTTTCTACCTCCCCATTCGGAGATGCTGCACAGATCCGCATTGATAGATGTAATGATATCAGCTCAAGAAACAGATCTAGTTTGAGAATTAGGAGGAAGGGAAAATGTGAAGAAGAGTGAAGAGTAGAATCATCAGCGTAAGAATGGATAGAATTAGTCATAGTGTGAAGTAAATCATTGACTAAAAGAAGGAAGAGAGTCGGTGAAAGAACAGAAGCCTGTAGGACACCGCTACTGGTAGAGAAAGAGCGAGTGATCGATCCCTCGACAACAACTGCCATGGATCGGTTCTCAAGAAAGCTAGAAATTAGAGTTCAAAGGGGGGGAGAGAAACCATAAGAAGGAAGTTTAGAAAGCAAAGACTTGTGCCATACCCTGTCAAATGCTTTGGAGATGTTGAGGGCCACGACGAATGTTTCCCCATAATCCCTGAGATTTACATATGAATACAGTACTAAGAAATACATATGAATACAGTACTAAGAAATATATATGAATACTAAGATATACATATGAATACCAAGAAATACATATGAATACAGGTATGAAGAAATACATATGAATACTAAGATATACATATGAATACTGTATAGTACAGTGGTCCCTCGGTTAACAACGGTTCGATTAACGAAATATCGGTTAACGAATTACCTCCCATAAGGATCTTCAATTCGGTTAATGAACAAAACTTCGATTAACGAAATCCTTACAACAAACAAGTTTTGTTGTGGGCATCAGCTGCTCAGCTGATGGGCTAGTCTGCCAATTCAGTAATCTGTTCTATGTTTACATTCGTTTCTAGTGGAGTAAATATCAAGAAAGTTGTGCTCTTTAATATTTTTGCATTTTTTATATTCAATTATTAGTCATTTTAAAAATTAGTTAACATATTAATAATATATGCAGTAGAGGGAACTTGTTTTTTTGCGCCCATCAGCCGCTTGACTCACCCACCAGGCGTCAGTTTGGCTTTGTTTACAGTGGAGTGAACATCGATTTTGTTGGTGTCTTAAAATTTTATTGGTGAAATTACTGCATCAAGCATGGGTACCCTGAAAGGTGATTTATCCTCCATCCCCACTTCCTTCTCTTCTCCCTTCTCCTCCACCCCCACTTCTAATTCCCATCATCATCATCAACCAGGAACCTTCTACATACACACCTCAAAGTAAGTGTACTTTACTGCATTTTTTTTTACTTCGTACGTATGTACTTTTCTGTGAGCTGGAACCAATTACCCAATATCCCATTGAAACAATGGATTCGGTTAACAAAATTTTTGGTTAACGAACGACTATGTGGAACGAATTGTGTTCGTTAACCGAGGGGCCACTGTACTAAGAAATACAAATGAATACGAAGAAATACATATGAATTCTAAGATATACATATGAATACTGTACTGTACTAAGAAAAACACATGAATAATTTACTAAGAAATACATATGAATACTGTACAACAAAATACATATGAATAGGATTAAATAATGCTTCTTGATTTTACAATAATCGATACAGTATTTTGTAAATGTGACAAACACCAATACTGCACTATGAGTACTCTTATTATACTGTGTAACTGCTGCTCATGCTAATTTTCCTGTATATCAAAAAAAATTTCAGTATAACTAACTGATACTAATGTCACTTATTTCAATCATACTATTGTAACAACTGTACTTCTGTATTTATCACCATTAATAACACAAATAAGTGATATTTAACCAAGGGCAGGTGACAAAGCCGTGAGATGCTTGTTTCCAATAGAATCCTTATACCAGCAGCATCTGGTGTTGGGAGGGCCACCGATCCTAGTACTGTACTGTACTGTAATGTATTAACCAGACCCAACGCTGCTTAACTTTACTGATCAGACAAGACATGGTGTTTACAGTCAGTCAGCATTGATACTACAGTAATACCAATAACCAGGAATATTAACCAGTGAATGGCATTATTGTATAATGATTTATGTCCACTTTTTCTACTCTAAAAATGTCATATATTCCCATAATGAACCACTGTCAGTTAATGATGACCTGACCTAACATATTCCATTCATCATCTTTCAGTGTGAATTTTTATAGCAGAATTATACAGTATACATCTTTCAGTACTGCACTGTACCTGTATTTCTCCTTGAATATTTTGGGCAGATGGCAGGAGACAATACGTCGACGGGAATATAACGCTCGGGCCAGCCAGCACGGCAGCTCAAGCTTGGTCCCGCTTTCTAGGTCTTTATTACCACTGGAGGGATCAAGGAAACCTGGTGGTGAGATTGTTTAGACAAAAAATTAACTAGGTGATTTCTCCAATCAAGTGATTATTACTATTTACAGTAATAAGCTCTATTTAACAGACCATATGGAGAGTAAGGTCTGTTATATCAAGGGTCCGTTATATGTGAAACCACGGATTATATGGAGAGAAAAGTGCGTTATATGGAGGTTTCACTGTACTATAATTATCCTTCTTAAGACAACCAGTTCTGTTGGTCCAAAATCTCCTGGGATGTCCCTGGCTCATGATAGGTTAAGTGAGAAGGGTGTTATCCACAGACGTGGAGACTCATAGATATTAATTCAGTAAGATTATCATAGGACAGTGCAGCCTACAGTGTTATTATAATGGACAGTGTAGTGTCCATCACTAGGCTATCATAGGACAGTGCAGCCTACAGTGTTATTATAATGGACAGTGTAGTGTCCATCACTATCATAGGACAGTGCAGCCTACAGTGTTATTATAATGGACAGTGTAATGTCCATCACTAGGCTATCATAGGACAGTGCAGCCTACAGTGTTATTATAATGGACAGTGTAGTGTCCATCACTAGGCTATCATAGGACAGTGCAGCCTACAGTGTTATTATAATGGACAGTGTAATGTCCATCACTAGGCTATCATAGGACAGTGCAGCCTACAGTGTTATTATAATGGACAGTGTAGTGTCCATCTAGGCTATCATAGGACAGTGCAGCCTACAGTGTTATTATAATGGACAGTGTATGTCCATCACTAGGCTATCATAGGACAGTGCAGCCTACAGTGTTATTATAATGGACAGTGTAGTGTCCATCACTAGGCTATCATAGGACAGTGCAGCCTACAGTGTTATTATAATGGACAGTGTAGTGTCCATCACTATCATAGGACAGTGCAGCCTACAGTGTTATTATAATGGACAGTGTAATGTCCATCACTAGGCTATCATAGGACAGTGCAGCCTACAGTGTTATTATAATGGACAGTGTAGTGTCCATCACTAGGCTATCATAGGACAGTGCAGCCTACAGTGTTATTATAATGGACAGTGTAATGTCCATCACTAGGCTATCATAGGACAGTGCAGCCTACAGTGTTATTATAATGGACGGTGTAGTGTCCATCACTAGGCTATCATAGGACAGTGCAGCCTGGTGTTATTATAATGGACAGTGTAATGTCCATCACTAGGCTATCATAGGACAGTGCAGCCTACAGTGTTATTATAATGGACAGTGTAGTGTCCATCACTAGGCTATCATAGGACAGTGCAGCCTACAGTGTTATTATAATGGACAGTGTAGTGTCCATCACTATCATAGGACAGTGCAGCCTACAGTGTTATTATAATGGACAGTGTAATGTCCATCACTAGGCTATCATAGGACAGTGCAGCCTACAGTGTTATTATAATGGACAGTGTAGTGTCCATCACTAGGCTATCATAGGACAGTGCAGCCTACAGTGTTATTATAATGGACAGTGTAGTGTCCATCACTATCATAGGACAGTGCAGCCTACAGTGTTATTATAATGGACAGTGTAATGTCCATCACTAGGCTATCATAGGACAGTGCAGCCTACAGTGTTATTATAATGGACAGTGTAATGTCCATCACTAGGCTATCATAGGACAGTGCAGCCTACAGTGTTATTATAATGGACAGTGTAGTGTCCATCACTATCATAGGACAGTGCAGCCTACAGTGTTATTATAATGGACAGTGTAGTGTCCATCACTATCATAGGACAGTGCAGCCTACAGTGTTATTATAATGGACAGTGTAGTGTCCATCACTATCATAGGACAGTGCAGCCTACAGTGTTATTATAATGGACAGTGTAGTGTCCATCACTATCAAAGGACAGTGCAGCCTACAGTGTTATTATAATGGACAGTGTACAGTAGTGTCCATCACTATCAAAGGACAGTGCAGCCTACAGTGTTATTATAATGGACAGTGTACAGTAGTGTCCATCACTATCATAGGACAGTGCAGCCTACAGTGTTATTATAATGGACAGTGTAGTGTCCATCACTATCATAGAACAGTGCAGCCTACAGTGTTATTATAATGGACAGTGTAGTGTCCATCACTATCAAGGACAGTGCAGCCTACAGTGTTATTATAATGGACAGTGTACAGTAGTGTCCATCACTATCAAAGGACAGTGCAGCCTACAGTGTTATTATAATGGACAGTGTACAGTAGTGTCCATCACTATCAAAGGACAGTGCAGCCTACAGTGTTATTATAATGGACAGTGTACAGTAGTGTCCATCACTATCAAAGGACAGTGCAGCCTACAGTGTTATTATAATGGACAGTGTACAGTAGTGTCCATCACTATCAAAGGACAGTGCAGCCTACAGTGTTATTATAATGGACAGTGTACAGTAGTGTCCATCACTATCAAAGGACAGTGCAGCCTACAGTGTTATTATAATGGACAGTGTACAGTAGTGTCCATCACTATCAAAGGACAGTGCAGCCTACAGTGTTATTATAATGGACAGTGTACAGTAGTGTCCATCACTATCAAAGGACAGTGCAGCCTACAGTGTTATTATAATGGACAGTGTACAGTAGTGTCCATCACTATCAAAGGACAGTGCAGCCTACAGTGTTATTATAATGGACAGTGTACAGTAGTGTCCATCACTATCAAAGGACAGTGCAGCCTACAGTGTTATTATAATGGACAGTGTACAGTAGTGTCCATCACTGTTCAAACTTTATGGTGAGACTTCCATCCGCATTCTTCATAAATTAATAAAAACAAATTATAACTTACCTATACCATAAGCAGTTCGCTCAAATTTACAAGGGACCCTCTCATTGGTGGCCAAAATGTCGTTAATGCTGAAATAACTTGGGAAATAACTGGGGTAGTGGAGAGTCATTGTTCACTTTATACCCGCGGCCTCCAACCATCCACTCATGACCCGTCTACACTAATAACAGTTGGGAAGTATTTTATACGAGTGTATATATATATATATATACATAGAAGTAATGTTATTTATTTATTTTTTAATTTTAATGTTTATCAGTGGCTCAGACGATAAAAACTAGAAGTAAAAATATCTATAATTTTGTGAACGCGTCTAGCTTCAGATGATTTATATCCTGCTTATATAATGTCTTTTACACTAAACAAAAATTAAAATAAAGGTTTATATAGTTTTACTAAAATATTAAAATAATAAAAATTAATAAAATAAACTAATTTTTTGTTTTAATTAATAATTCTATTTTAATATATTAATCTTAAAATGTAAAATATAGTTGTAATATGAGTCGTAAAAAAACTGTATTCACTCACAGGTGATCTGGTTGAGGCTGTGACTCGGCCTCTTCTCTCCTCGGCCGGTGGCTGTCTGGCCGATGTTTGTGCCCTATAACTATATACTTGTTGTTTCCAGTATTTATCTAATTTTGCTTCAAACTTCTCCACATTCACTACCCACTCAGGTAAGCCATTCCAGTTGTTGACAACCCTACTCGTGAACGAGTGTCTTCTGAGATTTAGCCTCGCTCTGGTTTTGTAGATCTTCTTTGAGTTCCCCCGGGTAGTGTCAGCCTTCCTCATCTGGAACATTCCTGCTGTACATGCCTGGTCTTATATGCCACACACTATCTTGTATGTTTCCACTTGGTCCCCACGAGATCTTCTGTACGCTAGTGTCGGTAACTGTAATTTCCTTAGTCTTTCCTCATAAGGTAAATCCTTGATCTGTGGTACTAGTTTGGTAGCCCTCCTCTGTACATTCTCTACTGCTTCAATATCCTTAATGAGATATGGGCACCAAATTTGATTAGCATACTCAAGGTGTGGCCTAACCAGAGCAGTGTACAGAGCCTTGAATATAGGTGCATCCAGATGAACAAAAGTTCTTCTAATAATGCCACTATTTTATTAGCCTTGTTGATTTTCTCAGCTAGATGGTCAGAGAACGTCAGCTTATCATCGATGACTACCCCTATATCCTTCTCTACAGTGGTCTTCTTGATCGTGGTGTACATATGATATCCCTGGTCAGCAACTTCTGTTCTTCCTATCCTCATGTATTTACTTTTTTCTGGGTGAAAGATCAGCAGCCACTTCTCAGTCCAACCCCTGATCCCATCCAGGTCCTCCTGCAGCGTGTCACAATCCTCATCTCGTTCTATTTTCCTAAAAATCTTAGTGTCGTCCGCATATAGATATACCTCACTGTCGTGTTTAATTGCCTCAGGCAGGTCATTGATAAAAAGGACAAACAGCAGGGGGCCGAGGACAGAACCCTGAGGGACCCCACTAGTGACCTCTCTCCAGTCAGATACTTCTCCATTTACCACAACCTTCTGTTTTCTCTTAGTTAAAAAATTCCTTACCCAATCAAGATATTTTCCATCAATGCGATAATTAGATACTTTTTCTAATAGTCTTTTGTGGGGTACTCTATCAAAAGCCTTCATGAAGTCACAATACACTATGTCCACAGCCTGACTGTCATCGATAATTTCCGTCCACCTGTCTAGTACCCTAATCAACTGTAGGACTGTTGACCTGCCGGAAATGAAGCCAAACTGTTTATTACTAAACAATCAATATTTTTTCATATGGGATATCATCTCTTCCCGTAATAGTGACTCCATTAATTTGCAGATTACACTAGTTAAACTGACTGGTCTGTAGTTTCCTGGTTCACTTTTACTCCCCTTCTTATAGATAGCTGTGATATATGCAATACGCCAGTCCTCAGGTATATTTCCTTCTTGAAAAGAGCTTTCAAACAAGATCCTCAGAGGCTGAAGTAATTCCTCCATCATCTCCTTAATGACTCTTGGATGTAACCCATCTGGACCTGGAGACTTATGTCTTTTCAATTTTTGAATCACCTTTCTTATTTTGCCCTCTGTTATCTCCAGGTGTTGAAGAGCTGGCACGTCTTTCTTGTTGGCTGTTGGTATCCCCCTATCTGATTCCTTGATAAAAACTCGTGGGAATTGCTCTGAGAGTACATCTGCCTTTTCTTGATCATTCACAGTCTTCTGTACTTTTTCCTCATCCTTGTAAAGATCTGCAATTCTAGTTTTTGTTCTTGTTTTTGTCTGTACATACTTCCAGAACACTTTTGGATTTGCCTTAACATTTTTGCAATCTCTTGTTCTTTGCGTTTCAAGATGTTTCTAGTTTCCCATCTGACCTGGTTATTTAATCTCGTGTATTCCTTTTCAGTTTCCAGATACATCTCCCTTGTACATGATCTTTCATTGAACTTCGTTTTCATTATTTTTAGTCTCTCCCACAGTCTCTGTTTTTCTTCACTTTAGCCCAGAGCTTCCTGTTCATAGTTAATTTTTCATTTGTTCTTTTTCTGCTAACCCTCAGTCCTCTGATTATCTTCTTAGGGACACACTCGTCAATGACTGCCTGGAATTTTCTTTTGAACTTACTTTCAGTATCTGGTTCCAATGATAAGTATTGGATCCAGTCCATAGTAAGCCTTTGCTTCATCAGTAGGTAATCTGCTTTTTCATACATGTACACTTATTTTTTACTTTTGTCTTCCATTTCCTGTATGTCACAATGGAAATAAATACAGGCATGGTCACTCTTTCCCAGTGGACTCTCCAGCTTGATATCTCCTACTATAGATTCTTCGTTACTGAACAACAGGTCAAGGGTATTGCCTGTGCTGTCTCCTCTTATCCTGGTGATTTCCTCTATATGTTGAGTGAGAAAGCAGTCCCGTACTTTCTCGATGAACATGGTGCCAACATCATTCAGTCCCATTACAGAAGTATAATTACTCCAATTTATTTGTGGAAGATTAAAATCACCTACAATTATTTTATAAAGCGCATTTTTATCATTGACTTCCTGCATAAGTTGGAGCAAATTAGTCTTATTGCTTTCATCACTATTAGGGCTTCTGTAAATGGAGGTAAATAGTAAATTACCACTACTACATGGCACTTCTATACAGCAATATTCACAAAACTTAGTATCAAGTTCAACACTGTAAAATTTGATTCCTTTCCTAATATATATTAACATACCTCTCCCTTCCTTATTAAGGAGATTTTGCTCTATAATGTCATATCCTTCTAGGTTATATTCTGCTGTAATCCATTCATATCTGTAGTGTTTTGGCTTTACCTCCTGTAAGGCTATTACTTGCGGAGTATTTTCCATCTCCTTCAACTGTGCATTTAACTCTATTAACTTGTCTGAACTCACCACATCCACATTACTAAACATAAGAAATTTACCTACATTAACACTATTTACACTACTGGTATGTACATGTTTCTCCTCTTTGGGCCTCACTACTTCTCTTGGACCCCTATTTTGACGAGTCTTCGCCTCCACGGAGGACCCACCACTCTGTGTCTCCCCTTCCCGGAGTCCATTAAGTTTTTTGCCTCCTGCCATAAGACAGCTTCATGTTCTCTCTCCCTTTTAGTTAAGTCATTGGCTATTCTTATGTCTTGGAATTTCATGTTACCTTGCAGGTTTCTGATGTTTTTAAATAGGTTGGCCTTTATATCTGCAGTAGATAACTTGATTAGCATAGGTCTAGCTTTTCCCTGGATAAATTTACCCAGCCTAATCACTTTAACTATTATCTCCTGGCCACTAGTGATGCCACATTCTTTTATTAGGTTCAGTGCATAAGATTTATCACTCTCAATCCTTTCGCTCATTGTTGGGGATCCAGATTCTGGTGCACCATATACCACTATGTTGTTTTCTCTCATCTTTCTCTCATTTAGTTCCTCTATAAGTTCACCAACAGGCTCTGGTTTCCCTGTGTTGTCTTCCTGCTTCACTTCAGTGGCACTACCTGTTGCCCTGCTAGAATCTACTTTCCCTTCTAAACCCACTGTTCTAGCCTCCAAGGTTCCCAGTCTGTTTTCAAAACCCCTGTCATTCTTAGCATTTGTTTCCAACACATCATTTATTTCAACAGACTTTGCCTCCAATATACCCATCCTGACTTCTATCTCCTTATTCTTATCGTGTTCTTGTGCTGTAAATTCTTTCAGTTTATTTACTTTGCCTTCCAATTCATTTTGTCTGGTCATTTGTTCCACCTGTTGTTGTTCAATTCTTTTTATGTACTTGTGCAGTTTAGCACAACCCTTCTTGCAGTGACTGCAATACCACATCAACACTCCTTCTGCCTCCTCATCTTGCATAAAGTTATATACCTCTTCTGGTAATTTTTCACATTCGATGTGGAACCACACTTCACAAACATCACAGCTAACTGCTTTGTCGCTATCCTTGACTGTTAATCCACATTCTCCACACATTTCGGTGTTTTTCTTTCCTCCATGTTTGTTGACACTTGCCTTCCTCCTCCTGTCCCCTGAGTCCTTGGTCTCACTCATTTTGACTTCTTCTTTATTGTATATACAAAAATTTGATGGGCTTACCTTCCTGTATGCCTCCGTATATTCACAGAACTGCGTACAGGTATCTACTTAATTTCCACTTATGTTCCTTTGTTATTCATAAATTTGGGCAAAATTACAAGAGCTCTATCCTATCCTATCCTATTACCAGGATCTCCACACTCCACCAATATAAAATCCATTTCGTCACCACTAACAGTTGCTGGTATTAGTGACAAATTGTAATTTATTATTTTACACGAATAGAAATTACACATGTATGCAGACGACTCAAGAAGTATTGTTATTATTATACATAAATATTGATTATTTAATAAAGAAAACAAATAAAATATTGGTAAATAAACAAAATACAGAACAGATGAAGATTTATTGTGTTATTACTATACATGAATATTAATTGTATAATAAAGAAAATGATTCAACATTAGTAAATAAACAAAATACAGAATAAATGAATGTGATTTGGCACCAGCGCATAAATCACCGAGCAGAGATGATTGTAGGCGTATTAACAATGTTTTCATTTTCTATTTTCATCTTTAGTGAACTGTCTTAGTGTTTTATTATTTTCTTCACCACTGATCGGCTCGTTAGCGGCTTGGGTGATCGGTTACGTCTCTGTTACGCACTGTTGGCACGTGTTGGGCTTGCATTGGCTCCAGTCTGAGTGCAAGTTAAAATCGTGCACAAGGAAAGCAAATCATGACAAACAAGTCCATCTCTGGAAGCTGTGGGAAGAATTTGAAGAAAAAATATCACCACTTCTAATTTCCTAAAAAAAAAAATTCATTGTGTTCTGCCAAGCTTGCATGAGTAAATTTTGGTTTTTCACATATTGTTTCAGTTAGATGATTGCAGGCGTATTAAATTTTTTTTTTTTTTTGTCTTTAATTAATTGTTTAAGTGAGATGCTTGCATGATCCAATGTATTGTTATGCTGAGGCATAACTTGTAATACATTTTTGGTAAACTAGGTGTTTTGATTAAACATTGGTAAATATTTTCATAAACCACCGAGCAGTGAGATGATTGCAGGCGTATTAGCAATGTTTTTATTTTATTTTTTCATCTTTAATAAATTGTCTTAGTTTTTTTACTATTTTCTATCCCAAGCAACAGTTATTTTCATGAATATGTTGATGGGAATGAACGCGGTGACGAAACGGGTAAAGCAGAGGTGACGAAAGGGGTTAGAAATAGTGGTGATGAAATGGGTTGGTGACAATATGGGCAGACCCCATGGGAGGGTAATCGTTTATATATGAATCCCCCCCTGAACATACTAGGATAATATTTGTCCATTAGCTGTCCGCAGGTTCCTGCCATGTTTACCTGAGGTTATACGCCTCACTTAAAATCAGTTGTCTCTTCCTTGTAGGTTAGGTTAGGTTTGGTTTGTTGGTTGGTTCCTTTGGTATGAGACTAGGCTTTATTTTAGTGTATTTTGGTGTGTTTTACTCAAATTTGACCTTCATTTTTGTGCAAATTAGCAGTCTGTTAAAAATTAAAATATTATTTATATGCAAAAACTGCTAATTTGCACAAGAAATGAAGGTCAGATTTTAGTAAATTGCCAAAAAAAGTAAAAATACAAAAAACAATCTTTATATCAAAACCTAAGAACAGCCAATGGACAAATATTTACCATGGACTATATGTAAGGTTAGGGTATTGTTGCTTTTAATTACCCCACAACTTTTGACGGTGCATTTATAGTATCACACCGGTCTTTATTTTCACATTAAAAATATGTATCTCGTAATGCTTACACAATTCTAAGACATTTTTCTTCTATTATATTTCCACCGGAAATTAAGGATAACCGAGATACTGTACTAATTTTTCAAGATTATTGCTTTCGCTCAGTCATAAGTGTCACCATGATTTCTTTACTTATGGCGGAGGTGGTCTGACCCCCTGCATATGCATCGCTCCAGGCCTCCGATGGGGAGTCCAGGGTTAGTTTAGGTTTTCTTGGTAATATATTTTATGTTATTATTCTAAAAAATCCAATTTGTTGGGGGGGGGGTATCTAAAAAAACACGTGATTTCCAGAGGAAATGAATATCAAATTCGTTCAAAACTCATCAAAATACATAGGAAAAACCCATTTTAAATATCAAAATAAAGACCAGTGCAATACTATAAATTAACCCTTCTGGCTTTTTTAAGTAAACATTTTTCTTCTATGACATTTTCGGCAGAAATAAAGGATTACCGAGATATAGCTACCATTGATTATTATTAAGAAAAATTGTCTGGAAAAAAATTATTTTGTTCTTCTGTGTATTTTTAGTGGCTCCGTGCGTGCGTTTATGCGTTAACACTTAGTAAACATCGGTTCATCTTGTATTGTACAGCATCTGTCCACATTCTGTGTGAAACATTAAGAGACCACTGATGATAGATATAGGGACATGCTCTTCCTGCCCTATATAGTTTAACATAAGTAATACAATGTGTGTATATTTTGGCATAATTAATATGATGTTCAGTTACCAAATATAGTAGGATCAGTGTACCACAGAGCCACACATACCAACCCTCCCGGGACATTATGAGTTGCATGCAGCACTTTGGACGTCATTGGAACCATTCTGGCAGATACAGTACAGTACTTTTATAAGATATATACTGTACATGAGCAGTTATGGATACAAACAGTGGACGACACTATGGTTGACAGGTAAATCAGTTCAGTTTGGATAGACCACAAAAAACATAACTTAGGATCTATTTCCTTTGGGGGAGATATTAATAGGTTTATGTAGATATTTTCTAATCTTTAAGTCGAGTAGTGTAACTTTCTATCACATCAGTGTTTATTTTTCTGAAGCTGTATATTAATGTAGTATATGTTATATTTGAGGAGCACTGAACCATAATAGGACAAGTGCCATTGTGTCATAAAACAATTCATTATGGTGTCTCTCACTAGTGTCAATTAAACCTACACTAACAATGCTACAATTGAACATTTGAACCACTTCAATATCTTCACTGATTCCAAAGTTATGGTAATTTGAAGATTAGCCACAAACTTTAACTATGTTTTTCTGTTTTTCATTTATGGTGCTTCTCCTACCTAGGTTCTGTGCACCTCATTTCATACTGTAGTGCTATAATAAACTACTGTATTGTATAAATATTCACTTAACCTAACCTACACTGTACGTGTACATGTATCCTGTATTATATATGCCACAATTAGTGACTTGATTTTAAGGTAAGGTGGTGTTCCAGTGGAGTGTGCATGAAACATGGCAACAAAATTGCCAGTTGCATCTGGTCTGTATAAATACACCAGAATAACAGCCAACACCACCAACTATGCCAAACGGATGAACCGGCTCGGCAATCATATCTTTGGGGAGGTTGTCCGACCAACTTCCTCTCCGTAAGTCATGTCCTCTCGATATTTTTGTGAATATATATATATATATATATATATATATATATATATATATATATATATATATATATATATATATATATATATATATATATATATATATATATATATATATATATATATATATATATATATAACAGTGAAGGCTCCATATATGACTTCTCTCTATATATAGTTTGTTAGATGGGGGTGTCACGTCTAACAGACCCCTGATAAAATGGGCTTTCATCACTACAGTATAAAGTTTGTTAAATGGAGGATTCACTGTATGTGTGTGATAATAATTTATGATGAAAGATGATAGATTATGATGATGAGTTATGACTTATTGTAAATAGTAAATCTCTATGATGAATTTATTATTGTAGGTCAATGAGAGTTGTAAAGATGTTTAGCGAGAAGCCATTAGACCTGCGACCAGAAATCACGGACTACTACCCGCGTCACAACGAAACTCACCGTCTGATGACTCTTCTCAGAAATGTATGTATGTACATATGGATGTTGTGAAAAGTTAAGGAAATTCTGAATGATCTTGATCATAATCATTTTTTGTTGTACAGTAAGTACTGTACTCGTTTAACGTTGTGGTTCCGTTGCTGAAAACTGCAACGTTAACGGAATCACTTTCCCCTTAAGAAACAGATAAAATACGGGAGTTATGTTCCCCATCCTCCCTTTGCCCCATAAAATACATTACAGTATATATACAGAAATTCAGTGGCATTTTTTTAGAAAATAGTATATATATATATTGATAAAATCACTGGGACCTTAGCTTTCGTCTTTATTCAAGACATCTTCAGAGGCAACTGGATTACATGGATGTCTTGAATAAAGACGAAAGCTAAGGTGCTCCGTTGTTTCCCTTTTCCCGTGTGATTTTATCAAGATTTATCTTATCCACGTTTTCATTGTGGATCTACATGAAATATATATATATATATATATATATATATATATATATATATATATATATATATATATATATATATATATATATATATATATATATATATATATATATATATATATATATATATATATATATATATACATATATATATATATACAGTATATATATATATATATATATATATATATATATATATATAAACTAAATCATTTTGTATTTTATTCACTGATGGGCAGAGGTGGAGCAAGTGTGTGGTGGGTAGTGGAGAGGAGGGTGGCAAATCACCGACACCCGGCGGGTGGCTCCTCCTCCCACTCTGACTGGGGTTCCTCTTCCATTTTTGTAGCAAGGCTAATGGTCTTACATTGCTTCTTCACAACACTAGCATCAGTAGCATTTGATGGGTGCTTGGAAGCCATTTCAAATGGTTAGAGTACAGTATTAAGAGCAAAAACACTTAAACACGCACGAACGCTGTGGAAGCCTAACAAAGACTGGTGAGAGAGAGCGTAGCGCGCCAAGATGAGAGAGGGTGATGTGCCATACAAATTAGTCCGTGACGGTTATACCGAATCGGTGGGACGTTGTACGAATCATGGGTATCTAAAGAGTAGCGACGTTATAACGAAACAACGTTGTTGGGGGCAACATTAAATGAGGATTTACTGTAATTCATCTCAGATTAGATTAGATATTATAAATACGTAAATATTCAAGATAATTTTTTCATACACTGTACAGTAAAACCTCGCTAAGCCGGATCACACTAAGGTGGACCTCTCTTGATCCAGACAAAATTATTTGAACAAAAAAATGAAATTATTTGTTGTAAGATGACATGGTCCCTCACAAATATGTGCTCAATATGGAATTTCAAAATGCTCAGACTCAGTGACTGCAAGCCTCTTGCAGTGAGAGGCATGTCCAGCTGGATCTGCCTTCCATTTTTTGTGGTTAGTGTACAGTTCTTTGTGTATATTACTTTTTTTAATTAAAAATATGTACAGTCAACCCTCACTTTACGCGGTTAATGTAACCCGCAGGGTCCCGCGTAAAGTGAATAACATAACATATGGGATTAATTGAAATAGAGTCCGGGCCGACCCCCAAACTCCACTTTTTGACGACACGCAACTATGTTGTAGTAAAAATTTTATCTTAACTTTATGATGGTATGAAAAAACAAGTAATATAGAAGAAGTTAGGTTAGGAAAAATAAAGGTTAACATAGGAAAAATAAAGGTTAGATTAGGAAAAATAAAAGTTATGTGGAACACTTACGTTAGTAGAAGAGATGGGTCGGCATACGGGGATGGGGAGGCTGGGTCCGAGGCAGAGGGCAGATTACTGGCCCTCAGGTGAATCACCATTACTAGGTGAATCACCATCACTGTCACTTACAGTTGTCAGGGCTTCCCTGACAAATCCCTCAAAGTAATCTTCACTGTCACTATCACTGGCATGGGCTGGCTGTGGTGGGTTGCGGGCGAAGAAATCTGTTATGCTTTGCTGACGGCTGGTGTTTATGTTGTCGTGATACACCTTGATGTAGGGCTCCATAGTCTGCAACAGCTGGGTAGTGAAGATTTCATACCTGTTTGCGTCAGGGTCGTCGGAAAGGAGGAGCTTGGCTTTCTCGATACACTCGATGGCACCCCTAACATTACTATGGGATAAGTGTTGTTCTTCTTGGGATGACGCACCACCTGCCTCTTCACTGACGTCGTCATCATCATCATCTACCATCTCCTCGGTAGTCACATCAGGTTCCATTATCACCTCCAGGATGTCGTCGTTGGTGGTCTCGAAGAAGCCTGGAACTGTAACAGTCTGCGCAGCTTCTCTGGCAAGGTCCACTGCTACTGCAACAGTCTGAACCTCACCAGTCACAGATTGACTCCTCCTCTCACCTGGTATTCCATGCAACACATGTCTCCATGCGTGACGAATTATAGCAATAGACAGCTGATCCCATGACTCCACCAAGACGTCCACAGCTTTCTTGATGTTAAATACTCTCCAGAATTGTTTGAACAGTATTTTTTGCTGTGCCAACTGTTGATCCTCATCTTCTTCGCTCTTGCTATCGGTGGTGGTGTCACTCAGGTTGCGCAACTCTTCCCTGGTGTTGGTGTAGTCGTTCAGGAGTTTGAATTTTTTCGTAGAGAATGCAGCTTTTACATTACAGATTAACTCTTGGTCCATGGGCTGTAATATAGACGTAGTGTTGGGAGGAAGGAAGACCACTTTTACGTTGGGGTGACGATCTAACAGTAGGGGCGAGTGTCCTGGTGCGTTGTCCAGCAGCAACAAAATCTTGAATGGCACATTCTGTTGCTCACAGAATTTCTTTACATCGGGAACAAAACAGTCATCAAACCAGGAGAGGGACAGTGTAGAGAACATCCACGCCTTACGTGCGGTCAGCCAGTGGACATTTAGCTTGGTCATGTCCATGGTTTTGTAGGCGTGCGGCTTGCGTGCTGTGTGGATCACCGATAACTTGAGCTTACTGGTACCGGAGGCATTGGTGGTAAACAGGACGGTGATGCGTTCCTTCTGCATCTTCCGGCCCCGAATCTTGCTGGCATTCTTTACAACGAAGGACTTGGAAGGTAGCTTTTTCCAGAAAAGACCAGATTCGTCCATGTTAAACACCTGGTCGTCACTGTACTGTCCTTCCTCCATAATCTCACGTAAAAACGGAGGAAATTCCCTAGCCGCAGCACGGTCAGCACTCGCTTCTTCACCACCAATGTTTATATTGGTGATCTTGTTCCGGATCTTAAACCTCTGTAACCACCCAGAGGAAGCATTAAAGGGTTTGGGCTCTGTAGTTCCCATCTTTCGTGCCACTGCAATGTACAGTTAACGTGCGTAGTCCTTAACAGAGCGCGTGTCGACCGCCATGTTCCGTCGCGCCTGACGCACCAAGTACCTAACAAGTAATTTTTCTGTCTTGAGAAGCACCTGGTTGTGAAAATACTTGATCATAGAAGCACCTGTAGACTTTGTGATCTTCATGTGCTCTTTTATCTTGGCTGCATCCTTCTTTATTGTTCGAATCGTAGATTCATTCACACCATGCTGGCGCACCAAATCAACCTGCCTTGTTCCTTTCTCCAACTCTTGGATGATGGTATACTTCACCTCGTAGCTTAAGGAACGTCGTGTCTTCTTTGGCTTAGTGCCGCTGGGTCCAGGTAAGGAAAGGTTTCTCTCTGGGGGTGGTGGTCCGGCGGAAGCCATTTTAGAGAACAATGGATGCACGTTTACACGGTCTGGCGTGGAGGGATGAAACTGGCGCGGCTAGGTCAAGGATCATCTTTCCTCCCTCCCTCCCTCCCCCAGGTGGACACGTCATAATACTTTAAGCCAATTACAGCTGGCAGCAGAGGGGGGTAGGGATGCATGGCCAATCACAGTCCGATACGTCATATGACGTCAGTGATAACGCAACAAAGACACACACTGCGCAACCCTACCGCGCGGCTTGCCCAAGCGGAGGGGGGAGAGGCGAGGAGCACAGGCAGGCAGACGGGTGGGGCGAATCTAAAAATAGCGTCGCGCCGGACACTCTCCGCGTAATAGGGTTCACGCACCGTGTAATGTGAGCACGTTAGGTTCTGGCAAGGCACTGCGTTAACGTGGAAACGCGGAATGTGGGACCGCGTAAAGTGAGGGTTGACTGTATTTCATTCATAAAAATTGGATACTTTGGTCTTGTACTTGTTTTTTTATTTAAAATACAGTAGGTCTTTTTTTTTTTACAAATTTGCTCTAAGGTTGACAGCCTCTTATCCCGGACACCCTTTCCCACCCAATTAGTCCCCCTTGGCAAGGTTTTACTGTGCTGAATGGAGGAAACCCATTTGTAGTGTCAAAATAAGGCATATGGTGACTACACTTTGTTATACACATTGTTTTTTTTTGCTCTTTGCTGTCTGGTCTTCTTTATTGGCCCATATTGTTTATATCCAATATAAATTTTCTGATACATAGTACTGTACAGTTGATTCTTTTGAGTGTATTGTATTCAGTGGCGTAGCTAGAGTGTGTGCCGCCCGGGGCGGCCCTTGAGTTTGCCGCCCCCCGTGCCCCCACAAAAAATACATATTGCACAGTGACTCACTCTTATATATATATATATATATATATATATATATATATATATATATATATATATATATATATATATATATATATATATATATATATATATATATATATATATATATATATATATATATATATATATTAAATAGTTTGTGTACCATTATAATATTACTGTACTTTCACATACTCAAATATAGTATGCTTTAAATACACCCCAAACATACTTAAACTTTATAAGTAACAGTTAAACAAAAAGCAAAAACGACATATAGGATAGGGAAAAAAGTAAAAAGTGTAAAAAATTAGGACCATCTTTATTTCTGAAATGAAAACTACAACTTTCTACTAAGTAACTTTTTTTGTTTTTTTGTTGGCAAATTCTTCAATGACATTGTCAAAAACTATTTCATCTGTCAATTGTCGCTCTATAGACAGTATGGCAAGATTTCTCAACCGCAAGGTGCTCATAGTAGATCTTAAGTAATTCTTGATCAGTTTTAGTTTCGAAAAACTCCTCTCACAGGTAGCAACACTAACAGCAATTGTGAGGAAAATCCTCAGCATTATTACTATATTTGGAACCGAGTTCCCAAGGTTATACTTTTGAATAAACTGCAAAAGTTCAAGGGGGCCTTCTTTCCACGTCTGTATTCTGTTTTTAATAGTTATAGCAGCAACAGCAACAAAATGCTGAAGTCTTTTTCTCTCAACTTTATCAATGTCGTCGTGATCGTGATCTATTTGACACTCATATTTATCATCAAAAGATTCAATGGGGTAAGGAAGGCATATTTCTCAGCAAGTTCATGAAGCTGTTGAAATCTCAAAGTTATTTCTTGGATCACTCTGTCCAGCGAAGAAAACATTTCTCTCCTCAATTCAATGTCGTATGGCAATTCAGCATCTCGTGATCCTTCACCAAACATTTGTTTCTTCTTTTTGGGTCGACGCTGACGCTCCATGACTATCCCCAGATCATTGCAAATTTCTTTGGCATAGTTAACTCCATTACTCACTAGCTTGTCCCTGTTTTCAACTAGAAATGTTTCTAATGCCCTGAGTTTTATATCACATTGTTGTATGTTCAAGCCCTTGGTTTGGAGGTAAGTCTGTGTGTCGTTAATTTCTAGAAGGACGGGTCCCCACAGGCCAAGAAAGCACAAAAAGGAAAATGATTGCAACACACCAAGTAGAATACCAGCATCTGCCCTGGTAGCTGTATTTTCTTCTTCACCAGTTAACTTATCTAGGGCACTTAAGATTTTTGAGAAATGTTTCTTTACAACACTTACAGCTTCTCCCCTCGCACTCCACCGAGTTTCTATTATGCGCTTGACACTTTGACCAGTGACTGAAGTTAGAACATTCCAGCGATGGGTTGATGAAGAAAAAAATACAAACAAACGTTCCACACATCCAAAAAAGGTAACAGAATTCACAGCAACAGAAGCTGCATGAACACCCGCCAAATTCAGCGAGTGATTTGTACAAGCGACAAATTCTGCTTTTTTATTAATTTCCTTGATACGTTTCTGAACACCAGTATGAACACCAGCCATCACCGCAGCATTATCATATGCTTGCCCTCTACAATTTTGAATATCAATTCCGTCTTTCTCTAATTTTTCCAAAATCATCATTGAAATATTCTCGGCGGTTTTACCTTTTGTTTCAATGAAATCGACAAATGATTCCACAACCTTCACTTTATCTCCATCGATCATAACATAGCGTAAAACTTGGCTCGTTTGATCCTTATGTGAAATATCAGGAGTGCTGTCGAATATCATGGAAAAGTACTTTGCTTCTTTTACTTGCTTGATGACTTTGCTTCTTACGTTTTCTCCCAAAATTTCTATAAACTCGTTCTGAATAGTAGGAGACAGATAGGAAGTAGCAAACAGCTTGATCTAAAATCACGATACAATGACACTAGTATCAATGTAATACAATGGAAATGTAAAAAGTAGCAACTTAATCTAAAATTACAGACTCAGAGTACAGTGAAAATGGATGTCTGACATAAGCCCCCCCGACGAAAGCCCCCCAGACGAAAGCCACCCAGACAAAAGCCCCCTACTTTGATCGGGGTGGCTTTTGTCTGACAACCCTAACCCTAACCTAACCCAACCTAACTTAACCTAACCCAACCCTAACCAATAATTAACCACAGAGAAGAACAGTATATTTTACCCTCAACTATTTAATTATGTCCGTAACTTTTGAAAGCCCTTACTGTTGTCAGACAAAAGCCACCCCGATCAAAGTAGGGGGCTTTTGTCTGGGTGGCTTTCGTCTGGGGGGCTTTTGTCGGGGGGGCTTTTGTCTGTACCCCAGTGAGGATAGTGTCTTAGTATAAAATCGCAATGCTGTGAAACAAAATCTTAATATTTAATCTCAGTACCGCAGCAAAAGTCACATCAATATTTTTTAACCAATACTTTAATATTTCTTACCTTATAGTATTATGTCTTCCAACGAAGTAAATAACTGGATCGAAAACACAAGAGAACTTAAAAGTCGTCTAGCCTCCCCTCGTCTTGTCACGATGGAGACTTGTGCAGAACTGAAGTGAATTGCTTGTAACTGGTGGATTGGTCGGCTGTACATGAACTGATATGACCCGAGACTGCATGGTTTTGCAGCTACTGGAGACGTTAATCCTTCCCTTTGTATCGGCGGCAAGTTAATCCTCGTCGTGTCTGACCTAACACCTGACCCACACCACATGAGCTCACTGGCGTACTTGTTTGAAGTTGTTTCCTTAATCCTCAACAGGTTACAGGTTGTGTGTGTGGGGGGGGAGCATAGCAAGGGTGTACGTAGCTCATGACGTGGCCGTGATGATGTGGGTCAGGTGTTAGGTCAGACACGACAAGGATTAACTTGCCGCCGATACAAAGGGATGGATTAACGTCTCCAGTAGCTGCAGATATGGGTGATGAGCAAACCCAAAAGTGCCGCCCGGGGCGGACCGCCCCCCCCTAGCTACGCTAGTGATTGTATTGGTTCACCATCTCTCTTATCAGGCATTCTATCGCCTGCCATACTCACAAGTGACGGCACATTCACCTGCTGTGTGGGAATAAAGTGACGGCACATTCACCTGCTGTGTAGGAATACCCTGGTTATCACAGGGGGAGATGCATTCCTAAAAGTCATTCCCAGTCAGCAACTTTCACTACATATTTTGTACTGTAGTTGTCCTGTTGACCACAGACCCAGTTCTACCATTATTTCATGGCATTCTTATGTTAATCACTTCATACAACAAAATGCTGTAATGATAATCCTAAAATAACTGGTGGTTGTGTGACCCTGAGGAGTTGTCAGTCCAGTATTTTCAGTAAAAAAAAGATGAAAACACCCTCACACACAATGCTTCCTTGGAACTTAGAGTTTTGAACTTTAAGATGTTGAACAAACTGCAGTGTATTTTATCAACTTGGAGTGTGGACATGTTGTAAGATCTCGGAGAGGATAAAAGTAAAAAAAAAAGTAAAAATAATAATCTGCATTTTTGTCATATTTGCTGTGAGTTACAGTCACTTTTGAAGCGTGGCAGTCAAGTGAATACAGCTCTCGCCTCCTGTTCCGGGATCAGTGGTTTGATTCCCAGGCGCTCTCACTCAGTTCACCAAGCAGTACTGGCCATGCTGCCTCCTTGTGTACCAAAGGTTTAGTGTACAGTATCCACACTGCCCCTAATGGGCAGTCATGCCTATGGGACCCTCTTTCACTGCCACTTGGACATGTTGCTGGCATGGTGGAAGACTTAATCACTTATAATTGTAACTATAATCATTCTTGTTTCAGTACGGGTTGTATCGTGATGAGCATCAGGACTTTAATGATGAGATGAAGAGACTAAGAATACTACGTGGAAAAGCCAAGCCAAAGAAGGGAGAGGGAAAACGATCAAAGAAATAAATTATGATTCATGAACATAATTGTATAAATATCTTGATAGCCATGTAATAAAAAATTTAAATACAATAACATGTCAGATTATTTACATTACTATAGACTTATGAATAATACACTATATTAACCGTCTTGTGCATCATGATGCAGATCCCATCAAAACATTGGGTAGCACTATTTGCTCCGGTGATAAGAATTGTGTTATTGAACTTTAAAAAATTCGCAAAATTTTTTTTTTCAAGATAATTGTATCATAGATAACTGTGCGATCTTGGGAGGAAAGCTTCCAGAAAGTATCAAAGTGTAGGTGGAGTTCTGCTGTCCATCAGTTTCCTCCCATCAGCCATACTGGTAGGTCGCAGCTGTCTCTTTATTTCCTCCCTCACAATTAGTTGTATCAAAATTCCAACACCACCAATGAGAAGCTCCTAAAATTTCGCTTCTATAACTATCTATTAATTTACCTTAGTTTTTGTTTAAAAAAAATTCAAAGATATGGTGTGAAAAAAAAAAATTCTTTATTCGGAGTGAAAAACTAGTCTTGTTCTCGTCTTATTTATTCATTTTTTTTATGTTAAAGCCAAAACAATAACCAAAGCCACTGATATAAAGCAAAAAAAAAAAAAAAAAACATTTAGAGGATAAAATGGCAGCAGAATAAAGATGACCAGACCTCACACAAGTGGTCCCCTATGACTTTTGTCGTGGTGACAAACTTAACTTACTGTGTACACAAGAGGCTTAAGAAGTAACAGTACATAATATTTCTGACAAGAAAATACTGTAATGTATTGCATTATTTATGTTAAAGCAATATAACTTTACACAACAGTATATACATTTAACGTTAAGATAAACATTATAGTAAATTATGGACTGCAATACCACACTACCATATGTCTCTTGCCTCCTGTGTGGTGAAGGTATTGGTTTACTCTTTTATGTTGGAGATACAGTATAATATTACAGGAAACTTTGTGGTACAGTATAGTATAAGTGTGTTTGTGAAAATGGGGCACTAAAACAGTGTCCTGTATGAAAATCTGACTACTGCCAAAATGTGGAAATGAAGAGAGCCAGGGGCAGGCCAAGAATGACATGGGGAGAGTTTGTAAGAAATAACAGAGTCAAGAACCTGACCGGAGAGTGTGTGCAGCCTGGAGAGCTGCCATCAGGTAATTCTGGCTAAGGTTCACTAGTGTGGATAATGGCTGTAAAGCATTGATGATGATGATGATGATTCCAGACCTGCTATGTATGTGGCATTGAAGTTATTAATTTATCACAAAGGTTGAAGAATTTTATCAGTACCTTATGTGATACTAAATATAACATGGATAATATCGTGGCAGGACATATGGCCGAAGGACATTTGACCGAACGGACATCGAGCAGACGGACATTTGGCCGAACGGACAGTAGACCGAACAAACATTTGGCCGAATGGACATATGGCCTTAATTTTTTTTTTCTTCTTTGCAATGTATTTTTTGCACATTTACTAAAGGATAAAAGATATTAATTGTAATCTAATTGCTTTATAAAAATTGCTTCAGTCTTGTGCTTAATATCTGGTAGACGTCGGAATAATTGTAATCTAATTGCTTTATAAAAATTGCTTCAGTCTTGTGCTTAATATCTGGTAGACGTCGGAAACAATCAGCATTATTTTCCCCAATTTCAATTTAACTAGTGAATTACAAGGACAGAGAGGTTTATGTACACAGGGTGACCTTACAAAACATGGTCAGGTCAAAAACATGACATCCGCTAATCCACACACCAACACCACCACAAACACAAAAGAAAGGGCGACGTAACTAATCACGTTAAGTCAGGTGAAGTTTTTAGCCATGCTCCAAACCAACCAAACGTTAGCCCTGCTTGCCTGGACTCGGATGCAGTCGCTCTTCAGAGGTTGTAAAGGTAAGCAGATATTTTTGTTGTTGTTGTCCATTCGGCCAAAAGTCCGTTCGGCCATTTGTCCGTTCGGTCTATTGTCCGTTCGGCCATTTGTCTGTTCGGTCTATTGTCCGTTCGGCCATTTGTCTGTTCGGTCTATTGTCCGTTCGGCCAAATGTCAGTCGGCTCAATGTCCGTTCGGTCAAATGTCCGTCGGCCATCTGTCCGGGAGCCGATAATATTATGCCAACATTGTTCACTGTCATTGTATTAACTTTACTGGACCTTACACACTCCAGTCACAGGTCAGGGAGTACATAGTTGACTTATACACCTACCACGCCCAATACCCAAGAAGCCACAAGTGCCTAAACTTGTGTATACAACATTTTTCTAATACTGTACTGTACAGGGTATGTATGTATGTATGTACAAGTATTAATTTATAGATTATAAGTACAGCCTGCTGACAAACATGGTGACTTTTATTAGTACTGAAAATCAAATTTAGTATGTAATGTGAAATTGTGAACTGAATGAAAACCTTGTAATTTTACATATTTGCCTGGAGAGAGTCCATGATAGCAAATCATGTGTGTATTCAGTTGTTTGCCACAAACATAAAGTAGGTGTAAGGGACCTTTGTTTGGGCATGATACCAGCAGCAGATTGATCCAGACCATGGTGAGGTCAGCAAGACTATGTTTTTTTTTATAATTTTTCACCAATTATCAACTTACTAGCCGTTCGAGCAGTTGGTCTAGCCAGTGTTAGTACAGGAGGAAGCTGGGGACTATGTGCTCATGATACACAGCTGCCTTACCTAATATCCAACAAGTTACCTTGGTGGAGCAACACCCTAAACTTGTGAAGCTGTGTATGAGACATTAATTAGTATTTAGCTACACGGTAGGTACAGTTGGCCACAGCTCTGTGTTCTCACATTACCGATTCATTCATAAAAGGCTTCCAATGTTGCCACATGTTTGGAGAACCCAATGAGGGGTGGAACACTATACTACCTGTAGGCAAATGTACATACAGCACAGTACTATGTAGAAATTTAAAGTATAACTTACTTGCACACCTGATGAACTGACGAGTTAGGCAAATCTGACTTTGAAATAGCTTAGTATTATAAGGTGTTAAAATCAATTACACTGCTTTCCTGTTTTGTACGAAACTCTGGAAACAATTTGCCTGAATGACTCTCCGTCTTGATTCTGTGTGGGAAGTTCATCCCCCTCCCCAGCTTATACACCTATAGGCACAAGCTTTACATGTCTAGTGGGGGAAGTGGCTTCTAACTCCATGAATCTCCCCATTGGGGATATTTCACTGAAGTTGCCCTAACCCATGTTTTAAAATGCAATTAGTAAATTAATGAACTTAATCACTTATTTGAGTTAAATTAACTAATTCAACACTCAGATAGTAAGTGACCTGGTAGATTTATCAGTGATGTTTAAAAGCCTTGACTTTGACCATCAGTCCTGTGCAGTACAGTACAATGTTCATGTTTGTTTGTTATTTACCACTGCTCAAAGTAAAATTCTTCTAGAAAATTTAGTGATTAAAAGATCATTGGTAACATGAGAGCCGTGCCACAGTAATAACAGTTGTTCCTTATTTGAAGAAAAGATGGATGATATCTACCGCTAGAAGGATCATGTAATCAAAAACTTTTTAGTTCAATAAATGTTAAATGTTCTGCAACTTAAGTAACTTTGATGGCTGTAAATTTTATACAATACTGATAATATTTACAATTTCAAAATATTAATACCTTGTAATTAACCGATTCTTTATTGCCATGAACAATATTGCCCGATCACATTTCACATTAGATAAAAACTTGGGAATATCAACTGAAATTGACATATAATGAAAAAGATTAAATGCCAATAGAAAACCAATGAACAATTTACTCTTCAGATAACATGTAGTAATAACCTAACATAACCTAACCTATCCCAGGACCACCAGCACAAATCTCTGTTTAGTTATAATGTATGTTTACATTTCTGTTGGTAGTACTTTTTTTGTCAGGACCTATTTTATAAATAAAAGAGTAAACCAAATTATAAAGAAGAGAGATAAAACAGGTATAAAGTGTTAAAATTTTTGATTAAAAAGAGTAGATGGCTTTTTTCTTTCTTACAAGATAAAAACAATATCCCTGGACCCAACACAGTACAGTAATGGCATGTAAAACTAAACATTGTAATAAGAGAGGAATTATTTCTTGCTCTTTTTTATATGGGCATAAAATACACAATGTGATGGTCATCATTAAAGGAAATTATCTAAATAAGTATTAAATAAATATGATAAACAGACCATAAAGGAGGCCAATTCTTACAAATAAATCATTACCAATCCACCCGGGAGGAGATGTAACCAAGAGGTGCGATGTACTGCTCTTGAACAAAGACCTATTAATTCACTGCCTTCTACAAATAAACAAAAATGACTCAAATAGTTCAATGTAATATCAAACTTACCAGTTAAATAAGTACAGTAACCCTCTCACAGCTGAACATGGCAAGGAGTATATAGTCTCCACGTAGTCATTATCCACGCTTGCGCGGGTCAGCCTACACACACAAAATGTTTTTACTGTTTTAGTCAGCAAAATATACAACCAAAACTGAAGCCAAATTAGACTTTTACGGTCTGACTAATTTTGGTTAAAATCTAAAAAAAAATAATAATTAATTAATATTAATATTATTTTTACCATAAGAAATACAGAACAGTGTTTACTGGTATAAAATATATTACATTTTAATGCAATACTGAAACTGTAATACTGTACACAACATAATGATAATGATTACTGTATAGTTGTCCAATACTGTACTATGTACGACTACTCAAATTAGTTATATTTTTTCATCACAATTACATCAATACATAATAGGGCTTATATTGTTCTTGATTCACATGACTATCACTGGCACAGCAGCTTTTATATATATAGTATTGTGCAGCAATTATGAATAGCAAAATAGATGATTAACTAAAGATAAGAACTCAATCCATCTACATTAAATTAAATACTAACTGCATTTATTATTCATAAGCTTTATTGTCATCAAATATTAAATGGTAAACAAAAATGCAGTTTATATCTTTTGAACACAACTTTTCTCTGGGCTCATTCATAAGTTTCTCAAGATATTCATTTTTGAGACGAAAATTCTCTATGGACTAAAATCATTATAATAAACAATTATTAAATACTATCATACCTCTTATATCGGACAAGACACTTTCTTGATGCTGAGGGAAATATCCGTTAAAAGAGGCCTTTATAACATGGTGCTTATGGAGATGTATTCTTGCTAATAGTGAAATTTTTCAAAATGATACATAACTCCTCCCTTTACACACTGTACAATACTACTATTTTCTCAGAGAATGACTTAATAAGGATTAAATGTTCCAAAATAGGTCATAAACATCAGAAATGTTGCAATTACTTAGAAGTACACGTGATTTTGCAGCGCTGTCTCCGTACAAAAAGTAAACATTAAGCGGCAAGTAAACCACACCAGCGCAACAATAATAAAACAAAAAAAAAAGACTGTTACGAGGTGACAATGCTTAAATTTTACATTTCAATGAAGACTTTGTTAGCATCGGTAATAAATGAAACTAAATTTAATAAATAACACTCGCCAGTTCATTTTTTTGGGTGCTTGATGCGTGGTTTACCACCGCTGCCTCACTCCTACTGCTTTGACCCAATGCTTGCCTGCCTCAACCCTTCGTATCACTTTCATTTCACGTCCATAGTACAGTAATGACTTTTCTGGGCACCTTGGTTGGTTAACCAACACACTCACTTGTAGGCCATTTCCCAGATATACTGGGCATAAAATGTTCACAAAACACATGTAGATAGTGAAAATATGAAGAGACCTCCTGCGATGTAATGGACACGAATCTTGACAGGCTACTGTTTATGTTCTGAGACGGTTGCTGATTGGCTTAGAGGAAGTAAACAACAAAGATAGCGGCAGATTATATCGTTGGTTATTTTTCACTAATGTTCGATTGATTTTTTTCTAATGAAACTATAATTACCATTATACAGTATTTGTTAAATTAATGTTTTCTTCCTGTCCGTGAAACGAAATTCCGTTGGCCGAGGCACCGTTAAATGAGGTATGATAGTAGAAAACTGTAATGTTCCTTCATATGTACTGTATTACTAATAGAACATGCTTAAAACTTTACTTAAAACCAATGTAAAACAACTATGTGCACTGTAACATCACTAACAGGCCAATGGATGAACTAGGATCCTCCACTTCGTTCTGCTGTGCTGGAAATTACTGCAACCTAACTAAAAGGATAACATCGGCTTTAAGAGAGAGGAATTATTTGAGAACAACACGAGCGACTCCCAGAAATTCTACCATGAGAAACACCGGCTTAGACAAAGATTCAGTTTGACGTGGTTGAGTCCTGCAGTGACAATACAAGCTGCAAAATAATACAATCCCTACTGTAAACCCTAACAGTCATCTACTTCCTTCCCCATCCACCTGTTTCATCTATGCAAGACACTCGACTAATTCCTACATCATATGAATGCTTGATCATATAATATAGTGAAAACTGTGTGGCTGGCTGCTGCTGTTCAATACACCGGCACAAAGAATCACGTTGTGTTCTCAGGGTAATAAAACCTCTTGACTTCCTCTATAGCTTTACACCATTCTAGGGCATAGCCATTGGGATCTTCCAGATAATATGTTCGGTTAGGCTGCGGGGAAGAAACAAACATTACAATTAACTCACAGGTATGGCACTATAATATTTAATTTACTTCTTCACTGTTGTGTTAATTAATAGTACGAGGCAGCGATAATTACCGTGTGCACAAAAAATGTCTTAAAATTCTTGGCCTCGGGCAAGATGGTGGAACACCAGGGAATCTGACCCTTCAGGACCATATTAGCAGGATCTACGTAGTAAAGGTGAGGCCCAGTCGTCAGGAGGAACATACGTCTCCTGGGAAACAGACCCTGAAAACAAGGGATGATAGTAATGTCAAGTATAATTTAATTGATCTCTATCATCAAACAAATAATGTAAGATCTGCAAAAAGCTTTACATGTACAGTCAACTACTAAAGTCCATTCCCCTCTCCACCTGAGAACTATGATTAACCCTTTGTTTTCCAAGGGGCTAATTCCTTCCTTTTTCTCCTACTAACATACCTTGCGCTTATCCATGAGACCCTGTTTCAGAATAAGGTTGTTTTCCACGAATTTGTGCCATTTGTTCTCACGTTCCTGGACAGCCAGTCTTAATATAAATTCTTCCTGGCTCACATCAGCCATATTTTTCTTTCCTGTAAAGATCATACACATGGATTAAAGGCCCTGTACAATATATATCAATGATAATAAATGTTGTCTTCAATAAAAACCACTTCAGCATTAAGAATTAAAAAAATGTATGGCCTGTGTAAACAGTATTAAAAATAGTGTACAGTATACTGTACAGCATGCCCTTTATGTGTTTGCCCTTAGGACAATTATTTCTTTTACCTGTATTGTATATATGTGTGTGTGTGTGTGTGTGTGTGTGTGTGTGTGTGTGTGTGTGTAGACACATACAAATAAATAATAATGGGAAAATCTTCTGACAAATAATCAAAAACTAATTTATTAAAAATGTTGAATCTACCTTCATGTCTACTCCGTGCTTGTTAATAATAAAGCACGGAGTGGACTTGAGGGTAGACTCAACACTTTTAATAAATTGCTTCTGATCATTTGTGAGAGAATTTTCCCATTATTATTTATTTGTATGTGTGTGTCTACACACACACATATACTGTATACAATACTGCACATGTAAAGGAAATTACTGTCTCTAGAACGAATGACTCCCTGTCCCGGCCGCAAAAATGCAAGCAACTTTAAAACTACCCTTAGACATTCTTGGGTACATCCAGGGTGTCATCCGCAAATAATCGAGGTCTGCGAATTAAAAATCCACAAATTTGAAGGGCATGCTGTATTAAGATTACCAAAACTTAAAGAGAAATACTTGAAATGAACAAAAAAAAAATAGATAGTTTGGTCATACACAGTAATTAGGGATGAAGAGATAATAACATATATTAAAGGGCAAAGGTGAGGGTAGGAGGGCCAGGGGAAGGCAGAGACTGGGGATGTATGAGTGAAAATAAAAACTGGGTCCCTAGAGAGATACAAAACATTAGAGGATTGTTAACAACAGCCCAAGAATGTTTAGAGTGGAGGACTGTGGTCGCCAACCCTCAGATATGAGCAAGGTACTATGATTGAATGAGATAATCACACACATGAAATCTGATTATTGGAATAAACATTATGATTAGTGGCTTGGGTGAAGGACATATGGTGGAAAATAGATGTGTGCTGTCTGTAAGAAAGGTATTGGCAGCAACTCAGTAATGTACAGTTAGTGTGGAAGGTGGATACACAAGAGGTGCAGTGGTATAAATGGAAGACTGCAGAATTTGGCTGACTTTCAGTGCAGTGTTGGACTGTGTTGATGAGTTCTGCTACCTAGGTGACATGAACAATGCTGGAAGTGGTGTTGTACCTATCTTAGTTGCAAGAGTCAGAAGTAGCTGAAGGAAGTTTAGGGAGTTGCATTCCTTCTTTCATAGCAAAGATTGATTGATTGATTGTGGTAATTACATCCCTGGCGACGCAGCAACATAGGTCATATGTCGCCAAATTAAAATAAAAGCTTAGACGTCTAAACTAAAATAATGTAAGGTATAAAATAAGGAATAGTATAGAACTTTCATAAAAAAAACATTGAAATGTTAATAGATAAAAATCAAAGCTTAATAGCAAAGAGGACCTTCTCCTTGTGTGAGAGGAAAAATGTATGTAACTGGCATGAGAAGTGTCTACTTGTTGTGTGGTACTTAAACATGGGCAGTTAACAAGGACCTGCAGAAGCTTAAATGAGCTGAAATTAAAATTGATTAGGTTGAATGTGAACAGGAGGAGAAGAGGTAAAGATAGGCCAAGAATTGTATGGGGAGAGACTGAGAGAAATGACATTTGAGTTAAGAATTTGACAAGAAAGGCTACAAGAGACTGCTCAGCACGGAGAGCTGACATCAGGTAATTGTGGCTAACCATCGGAAGTGCAGAAAATAGCCTTAAAATGGTGATAATGATGATGATGATGATGATGGTCACACTGACTTATTTGCTTAAATTATTAGATGATCAAATTACAAAACTGGTCAGTGTTATGGTGTCAAAACTGTATGTTTCTGAGAGACCTGAATGCTTACAAGGTTCATCAACATAGCAACAGTGAAAGAATTACATAAAATGTTGAAGGAGATTCCTACCCAAACCACTGAACTTCAGTTTGTACACCTGCCACAAAAAGTTCTGGAACAGCTCGGCACGACAGATTTCAGAATGAGCACTATGGCTCGTATCATCTCAGAATGGTTGATATGCCTGGTTGTGAAGTGACTCAATATTACATAATAATGTATGTTGCTCATCTTTATAGTATTTACTGGTGAAAAGAAATAATTTAATTTGTAATAAAACTTCCTCAGAGAGCAATGTTCAGCTTTCCCGTTCGTTTTGTCATATTGTATGACCCTTAGAGCAATCGAGAACTTTTCGTGATGAGTGTAACATGGATGTATATATAGCTCTCACTTGCAAATGCAAACACACAAATAGGAGAGAGAGAGAGAGAGAAAAAAAAATATTAATAAACCTGATTTCTTGGAGGCCTCAGTGTCACCAGTCTTCTCATCTTTGCATTTTCCCTTCTCGTCCTTAGGTTCAAGTCCAAGCATCAGCTGCAGCTCAATAGGCTTTAATCCTGGCTCGCTCTTGAATTCCCACTCAATCTGAAGTAAAGAGTGACAGATATATTACCTACAGTTTTTGTGTATGAGGCGCACAGAACCTAAGTAGGACAAGCCCCGTAAATGAAAATAACAGAGAAATTGCAGTTGAAGTTTGTGGCAAACCTTCAAATTACCATAACTTTGGAACCAGTGAAGATATTGAAGAGATTCAAGTGTTAGATTGTAACATTTGTAGTGTATATTTATCTGTTATGAGTGAGAGACATCATAGTTATTGTTCAGGGCATACCGGCACTTGTCCTAATATGGCTCTGTGCTCCTCAAATCATCTCTCAAACATATTCCTTGTAAGAGTAATATATATATATTACCTATAGTTTTTGTATACGATAAGTCTTATTAAATATACAATAATTTCTCACCAATGACGGAATTAACTACACAGGTAATGAGTACAGTATCCATGTTTTATGTTTTGGACATAGTTTACTAACCCACAGTAGAACCTCTGTTTAACAGACTGCTGTATATGCAGTGCCGGATTTAGACCTGTGGAGGCCCATGGGCAGCCTTTGTGGAGGCCCCCCTCATTATAACTACCCAAGAGGGTGGGGTGGCGAGTGAAGCGAGCCTAAACATCTGGGAGTTCCGGGGGGAGCTGTAAGCCCCCCGGGAAAATTTTGAAATTTGAACACTTCTTTGGAGAATTTTGAAACCATATGCAGTTATTTTGAGGAAATTAGAACATTGAGAAATTTTTAATTAACTGTATATTTATTGATAGTGTACAAATTCCCAACACACAAAAGTGAGACATGACTGGAGTCATTCATGTGATTTCAAGTCGGTTCATAGGAAAACCAGGTATTCATGAATTTCAAGGAGAAGCTAGCCTAATTTCTATCACGCTTCTTGCTGAACATAGTTTTACGTGATGGAATACCGTATATACTCGTGTATAGTTCGAGTTTTTAAGACCAAATTTTTAGGCAAAAAATTGGGGGTCGTCCTATACATGCGTAACAGTTTTGTTAGGTTGAACCCGTGCATGATGGGAATGGCGAGGAGCAACTTTTAGCTTCAGACATGAAAAATATTTACCATTTACTGCCAGTAAACAATGGAAACGCAAAATATGTACCAATTAGTAATGAAAAGTTGTGCAGTTCCTTCAGCAAATGAAGCTCACCAACTTACAATAGGCTAAATTACCTTACAACGTGCTTTCAGTAATCTATGTTGAAGTTCTTAGCACAGGCTAACTTATCATATCATATACGGTATCACAGTTCTCATTGATCTACAAAAAATACCGGTAATAAAAACCTTTTCGATATTTCACACTTAATATAATACCCGGTAATCTACTTCAACCTCCTATTGTTTACAACGACGCATGACACACCACCAGCTGTTGTGTATCAGCTAGACGGTACACGTGTTTTTCGAATCGTTTTCAGTTAAAAAACTGTTACATCACATGTATATTTTACCTTAACTGTGCCTGAATGAATATATTCTCGGAAATAAATAGTAGTTTTGCTGAAACGTGATGTATTTTAATGTAAAATAGGATAAAATACATGACGATAACAAAAGATTTTACCTAACCTTCCGATGTTCAAGAGAAGTTACTCGTTTTTTAATTGTTTGTGGTGAAAATATTGTTATATTACAATGGTATTCTATTCATACTGTGCTTGATATAAAGCATTCACGGAAATGTAATATTTTTTGCTGAAATGACGTACGTATTACAGTGGAACGTGGGATAAAATCGTGATGAAAACAATGACTTTCGCTTTCTTTCGTTCAAAAGATGTTACCGTAATCGCTTTTCGAATGGTTTTCAGTTAAAAAACTGTTGTATTACAATAATATTCTATCCTAACTGACTTGAATAAATACTACGATACCATATTTCTGAATATTTTCATTAAAATCCATCAAAATCATTTTCCTTGTCATCGTCTGCAGCACCAAACAGCTTCTCCCAGTCCTCTCCTTGAACAGGGCTAGAGGGTACGTGTTTTTCGAATCGTTTTCAGTTAAAAAACTATTACATCACACGTATATTTTACCTAAACTGCGCCTGAATGAATATATTCTCGGAAATAAATAGTAGTTTTGCTGAAACGTGATGTATTTCAATGTAAAATAGGATAAAATACATGACGAAAACAAAAGACCTAACCTAAGTTTCCGATGTTCTTGAGATGTTACTCATTTTTTTAATAGTTTTCGGTTAAAATTCTGTTATATTACAATGATATTCTATTCATACTGTGCTTGATATAATACATTCACGGAAATGTAATATTTTTGCTGAAATTACGTACGTATTACAGTGGAAAGTGGGATAAAATCGTGACGAAAACAATGACTTTCGCTTTCTTTCGTTCAAAAGATGTTACCGTAATCGCTTTTCGAATGGTTTAGTTAAAAAAGTGTTGTATTACAATAATATTCCCTCCTAATTGACTTGAATAAATACTTGAATGGAAATATACAATAATTTTGTTGAAACTACCCGCGTTTCAGTGCAAAGTGTCGTAATAATAAATGGTAAACAATTTGCCTTCGGCACTCGTGTTTCAGGCACGGCGAGCCTCAGTTTATAGGACGTAGGGCGTTTTTACTGAAGGTTTTGTTGTTCCATTACCCTCAAAAACGTGGGTCGAACTATAAACAAGGAATATCATAAATTAACAATTTCTTGATCAAAAAAATCAGGGTCGACCTATAAACAAGGGGGGGTTATAGACGAGTATATACGGTAGATAAACATGAATTTTAAAGAATGAAAATAAAAATAATCCAAATGAATAAACAAATAAATAAAATATTGCAATATGTGGAGGCCCCCCAGATTGTGGAGGCCCCTGGGCAGCTGCCCACTTTGCCCACTCCTGAATACGGCCCTGTGTATATGGAGGAAAGTCCGTTATATCAAGGGTCTGTTAATGTGAAAACCCCCCATCTAAGGAATTATATGGAGAGAGAAGTCCATTACAGAAAGTCTTCGCTTAACGCCGAGGTTACGTTCCTAAAAACGCAATGTTATACTAAACAACGTTAAGCAGATCAATTTTCCCCATAAGAAAGAGATAAAATAGAGGAGTTACGTTCCTGAGCCTCCCTTTGCCCCATGAAATACATTACATATACAGAAAATCATTGCTATTTCTATAAAAATAATGCATACATATACAACTACTTACTAAGTTTGTATTGGTACGCACCGATGGGGGGAGGTGGTAGAGTGAGTGTGTGGTGGGTAGTGAAGCAGAGGAGAAGGATGGTGGGAGGGGAGGAGTATGGCAGGATGGGAGGAGTATGGCGGGAGCAGAGGAAGAGGATGGGAGCGGAGGAGGAGGGCGGGAGCGGAGGAGGGTGATAAGTCACTGAGACTCTGCGCCAAGCCGAGAGGGCATAGCGCGGCCAGACAAGAGAAGGTGATGCACCGTAAAATGTAGTCTGTGACGACACAAAACGACGTAGTATCGGATCACCTGGATGTTAAACAAATTTTTGGTATCTACAGTTTAGGGACGTAGTACCGAAACAACGTTAGGCAGGACAGCGGTAAGTGCGGACTTACAGTATACTGTATAGAAGTTTCAATGTACAGTATCATGTTTCAAGTACTACTGTATCTGTAGTTCCCAGGATGCCTGTACAGTACGGTACTGTACAATACTGAACTGTACTATACTGTACTGTGTGGTACTGTACTGTACTTGTAATAAAATAAAATACAGATGGACAGATCATGAATACATACAGAATACAGTCAAGGTTATTCTTTAAATAATTAAAAATAATGCTGTGCAGGCAGTCCCAGACTTACGACGGGGATACTCTCCTGCACCCTGATCATAAGTGAGAAAAGTGTTAATTCCATAGTTTAGGTTAGATTAAAGCACAACCCTGCCTACAAAACAACAATAATATCCCATACACAACAAAAACTGTAAATAAAGTGATGTTAAACAACATGGAATAATAAAAAATAAAAAAATAGGATTTTAATTAAAAACAAATTTGATGAATTTATTGGGATCCCATTTGTGAGTGCTGATGACCGTAAGTCAGACAGTTGTAACTCGGACTGCCTGTATATTACATAAGTCAGACAGTTATAACTCAGGGACTGCCTGTATATTACATAAGTCAGACAGTTGTAATTCAGGGACTGCCTGTATATTACACAAGTCAGACAGTTGTAACTCGGGACTGCCTATATATTACACAAGTCAGACAGTTGTAACTCGGGGACTGCCTGTATATTACATAAGTCAGACAGTTATAACTCAGGGACTGCCTGTATATTACATAAGTCAGACAGTTGTAATTCAGGGACTGCCTGTATATTACACAAGTCAGACAGTTGTAACTCGGGACTGCCTATATATTACACAAGTCAGACAGTTGTAACTCGGGGACTGCCTGTATATTACATAAGTCAGACAGTTATAACTCAGGGACTGCCTGTATATTACATAAGTCAGACAGTTGTAATTCAGGGACTGCCTGTATATTACACAAGTCAGACAGTTGTAATTCAGGGACTGCCTGTATATTACATAAGTCAGACAGTTGTAACTCGGGACTGCCTGTATATTACATAAGTCAGACGGTTGTAACTCAGGGACTGCTTGTATATTACAAAAGTCAGATGGTCATCACTCAGGGACTGCCTGTATATTACATAAGTCAGAGTTGTAACTCAGGGACTGCCTGTATATTACATAAGTCAGTCGGTTGTAACTCAGGGACTGCCTGTATATTACATAAGTCAGACAGTTGTAACTCGGGACTGCCTGTATATTACATAAGTCAGACGGTTGTAACTCAGGGACTGCCTGTATATTACAAAAGTCAGATGGTCATAACTCAGGGACTGCCTGTATATTACATAAGTCAGACAGTTGTAACTCGGGACTGCCTGTATATTACATAAGTCAGACGGTTGTAACTCGGGGACTGCCTGTATATTACATAAGTCAGACAGTTGTAACTCAGGGACTGCCTGTATATTACAAAAGTCAGATGGTCATAACTCAGGGACTGCCTGTATATTACATAAGTCAGACGGTTGTAACTTGGGGACTGCCTGTATATTACATAAGTCAGACGGTTGTAACTTGGGGACTGCCTGTACTGTATAAAGGCGACCTCATATTATCCTATACAGTGACCCCTCGTTTAACGAACGCCTCGGTTAACGAAATTTCGGTTAACGAACTGCCTTCCATAAGGATCTTCAATTCGGTTAACGAACAAAAATATGGTTAACGAATTTCTTACGAACCGACCTCAACATTTTTTCGTTTGCACTGACCGGGCAACCAGCTTTAGTATCAGTCAGCCAATACATTAATCGGTTCTAGGGCTTAAATTCCTTACTATTTTAGTAAATATCAAGAAGTTTATACTATTCAATAATTTTAAAAGTTTAATATTCAATTTTTTAGTCATTTTAACAATTATTGAACATAATTGAAGGTAAAGTGATTAGTTTAATGCACGGCATCCAGCCTCTTAACACAGGAAACAGGCGTTAGTCTCTTTCTGTTTTCACTGGAGGTAACATCTTGCTTGAGACTCTCTTCAACTAAACGCCTTTTTTCTGTGTTTCCAAGCAAATTATTGGTCATTTTGAAATATATTTTATATATTGACAATATATAATGCAGTGCAGTGTTGATTTAAAGAAAATAATCTTGAAATACACCAAGAGAACTAAAATTTTATGGGTGAAATGGTGCCATGGGGTGACTTCTCTTCCACCCCAATGCCTTCTCTTCTTCCTTCTCCTCCACCCCCATTCTAATTCCCATCATCATCATCATCATCATCCAGGAGTCTTTTCTACCATTTTTGTTGAATTTAGGAAATTTTCGGTGAGCTGGAACGACCTTCTGGAATGGATTGAGTTCGTTAACCGAGGAGTCACTGTACATACAGCACTGCACTGTACCTCATTAGCAACGTGTGGCATAAAAGGTGCAATTTTTGGAGGTGTCATCTCGTGTAGGGAGTCAAAATCTAAACCAGCGAACAGGGGATGACACCTTATGCTGGGATATCCCTCACAGTCTTGGGCCCCAAGCCTGTCATCTGCCTCCACTACCTGAAAGTAAAATGAAATGACATTACCAGCAAGTAAAGGGATTGATATCACACGGAGAAAGAAGAGCATTATATGGAGGTTTCACTGTAATACAAAAGAAAATAATCTTAAAAAAATTAATACACGACGATAAAAGAAAGATAAACAAACTAACGCTGGCTAGACCAACCAGCTGAATGGATAGTAAGCTGATAAGTGAAAAAATAAACAATTTAATTATTACCAATAGTTTCTGCACCAAATCCTTAGCTTCTTCACAGAATCCCTCGGGGAACTCATACTCCAGCTTGAGTATTTTCTGGAAGATGTAGTATTCACTCCTGTAAAATGATAGATTGATATGACAACCTAATACTGTACATTAAAACTAACTAACTAACATGGGGGGAAGCAACAAACTGTTCCCATACACAAACATACTCTAGTCAAACTTCACTAGAACTACAACCCAAAAAACTATGGATGTACCGATAAATCAATATCATTATCAGCAAGAATCTGGGTATTGGTACATATCTACAAAAAACATAGCTGGACATGTTATACAGTACTAAGTTTTAAAAATGTAAAGGTGATCACAAGAATGTGAAAAAAATTATCTGAATCAATACTCATGACCTGGAACAACTTTATATAAAACATTATTTAATAGATGTGTTTGCATGCATGCGCGCACGTGTGTGTGTGTGTGTGTGTGTGTGTGTGTGTGTCATGGCCTACCTAGCTAGGCTGCCTTGGGTGACATAAGCAGAATAATGTTATCTTCAACAGTACTGTACAGTTAAAGGCTTACCATTCACAGTATCAAGTACTATACAACCACAGTACAGTACAGTACACCCCAGAAATTAATGTGGTGAGGCCTGAATTTTGCTGCATTGTGCACCCCATGTTCTTGCACTACACACCCTATACCCCCACACCACTCACCCCCATGCCCTCAGACCACACACCCTATATTCTTACACCACATACCCCCCCACTACAGTAACCCACACAATCTGCACCATGGCTTTGGGATGGTCTTATACAGTACAAATTTGTTCAGTGTTTACCTACAATATTCCCATAATATTGGCACCAAAACAAAGGGTGAATGAAAGAGCAGTAAATGCACACTGAAAGTTAAATAGAAAAAGTAAGTGATGATTCTTACATGAAAAAGTTTGAATTATCGATGTAATAGCCCCTATCTTAAAGGCAGAAGTATTTATATAAATGGGTAAATTACATTTGATTTATATACTCTATCACCCTCTGTAACTTTCCACTAGCTATGAGGTAGCATGTTCAGAGCACGTGATAAGGTGTGCCCACGGGAAGTCGCGTCACTTAGTGCTGAGCTAAGGCATTAAGTAGCCAGCTCTCTGGCCACCTCTTGTGGCAGTAGTTTGATATCCTTGACGAGAGGAAGACGTTATTGAGAGCCATCGTGGATGGTTCCGTCTTCCCTCGAGGGAGGACGTATACAGTATTACCGTTCTCCCTCGACGGGTATTACGGGGATTGTCACTCATCACCTCACACCAACCGGACGTATTTAGAAGAGCTCTTTAATAGAGCCTCCGTCCTCATGTTAACACTCATAGCTACAGTGATTAAGTTACGGTGATATACACTTGGAACTGTATACGAGATAGTTCCTCAATAAATAGATAACAGACAATTGGGTTTCACTACTAAAACCCTATATAATTTACATGTTCCAGCCTCATTAACCCAAAAGGAATCAACGGTTAAAGGGCCAGTTCATTAATATAAACTTGCAAGTACTGCTATGGTGGGTACGGTGCCTGATATATTTAATGAATCAGCCATATAATATAGCAAGGAAATTAATTATTAATGAATCATCCATATGGTAGAGTAAGGAAATAATTAATGAATCAGCCATATGGTAGAGTAAGGAAATAATTAATGAATCAGCCATATGGTAGAGTAAGAAAATAATTAATGAATCAGCCATATGGTAGAGTAAGGAAATAATTAATGAATCAGCCATATGGTAGAGTAAGGAAATAATTAATGAATCAGCCATATGGTAGAGTAAGGAAATAATTAATGAATCAGCCATATGGTAGAGTAAGGAAATAATTAATGAATCAGCCATATGGTAGAGTAAGGAAATAATTAATGAATCAGCCATATGGTAGAGTAAGGAAATAATTAATGAATCAGCCATATGGTAGAGTAAGGAAATAATTAATGAATCAGCCATATGGTAGATTAAGAAATAATTAATGAATCAGCCATATGGTAGAGTAAGGAAATAATTAATGAATCAGCCATATGGTAGATTAAGGAAATAATTAATGAATCAGCCATATGGTAGATTAAGAAAATAATTAATGAATCAGCCATATGGTAGAGTAAGGAAATAATTAATGAATCAGCCATATGGTAGAGTAAGGAAATAATTAATGAATCAGCCATATGGTAGAGTAAGGAAATAATTAATGAATCAGCCATATGGTAGATTAAGAAATAATTAATGAATCAGCCATATGGTAGATTAAGAAAATAATTAATGAATCAGCCATATGGTAGAGTAAGGAAATAATTAATGAATCAGCCATATGGTAGAGTAAGGAAATAATTAATGAATCAGCCATATGGTAGAGTAAGGAAATAATTAATGAATCAGCCATATGGTAGAGTAAGGAAATAATTAATGAATCAGCCATATGGTAGATTAAGAAAATAATTAATGAATCAGCCATATGGTAGAATAAGGAAATAATTAATGAATCAGCCATATGGTAGAGTAAGGAAATAATTAATGAATCAGCCATATGGTAGAGTAAGGAAATAATTAATGAATCAGCCATATGGTAGAGTAAGGAAATAATTAATGAATCAGCCATATGGTAGAGTAAGGAAATAATTAATGAATCAGCCATATGGTAGAGTAAGGAAATAATTAATGAATCAGCCATGAATCAGCCATATGGTAGATTAAGAAAATAATTAATGAATCAGCCATATGGTAGAGTAAGGAAATAATTAATGAATCAGCCATATGGTAGAGTAAGGAAATAATTAATGAATCAGCCATATGGTAGAGTAAGGAAATAATTAATGAATCAGCCATATGGTAGAGTAAGGAAATAATTAATGAATCAGCCATATGGTAGATTAAGAAATAATTAATGAATCAGCCATATGGTAGAGTAAGGAAATAATTAATGAATCAGCCATATGGTAGAGTAAGGAAATAATTAATGAATCAGCCATATGGTAGAGTAAGGAAATAATTAATGAATCAGCCATATGGTAGAGTAAGGAAATAATTAATGAATCAGCCATATGGTAGAGTAAGGAAATAATTAATGAATCAGCCATATGGTAGAGTAAGGAAATAATTAATGAATCAGCCATATGGTAGAGTAAGGAAATAATTAATGAATCAGCCATATGGTAGAGTAAGGAAATAATTAATGAATCAGCCATATGGTAGAGTAAGGAAATAATTAATGAATCAGCCATATGGTAGAGTAAGGAAATAATTAATGAATCAGCCATTTGGTAGAGTAGCAAGTGTAATGATTGTTTATCAGACCGCAGCTTACAGCACAGAGAAATACAACACATATAACAGTAAGTAAATGAGCAGGTGTACACCCACGTAAGTTGACACACCCTACAGTGACAGCAAGATCTGACCCAAGAGGGCAAGGCCACAAAGTACTTAAGATAACCGTGCGATATGACCGTGTTAAGGAAACCACACCTTGCCAAGACACACCCAGGTGGTAATAATTAGGAAGCATTACCGACCTGCGAAATGACCACACACCTGGGCAAACACAGCTGTCCAGATCTAACCAGTTTAGTGTTAATTAGGAGAGGTCATCTGCCGGCTCTCCTCCAATATAAAGGCCCTGCAGCCCCTTTCACCGGGCATGGGCATTCATTGAGATCACTTTCATGGAGTCACGCTCGTCACTAGTCGGGGTCGGGAGAGAGACTTCCCTCCCTAGCACCGCGTCTCCAGCTAGCAGGGTCTCCCATAAGAGACTTAGTCCAGCAGCACCCGCTGGGCCTCCCTCAGGTCACAAGTGAGTCATTGTCAGAGCTATCCATAGGGTGAGTTACTTACGGTGGGAAGTGTATCCGTTTCATGTTTGTGTCTGAGTCAGTGTCTAGTAACGTAAATATAATATTCTAGTAACTTCGATACAATGTTCTATTAATGTGTCTGTGTCATTGAGTGAATAATAAATAGCTGTACTTAGAATTGGTGGTTTAGAAGATTTCCCCTAAGAACGTATATACAGTTAAATAACTAACCGGCCACGCTACCAAACTTCCTCTCTTTACATTCCTACAACTATAAATATTCTACCTACATGTATATATTCTATACGAGTTTTGACTCATTATACAAGCACCAGGATCAGTGAAAAAGTGTCTTGTGTTATTTGCAACTCAACCCAACCCAACAGGAGGAAAATGGAGGAAGTAAACCGACCTTGATCTAAAGGGCGGAAGACCAGACACCATTTGATAGAGAATACACCCAAGGGCCCATAAGTCCGATGCTCGGCCACACTTCTTGGATTCTAATAACTCCGGGGAAACGTATTGTGCTGTTCCTACGAAGCTGCTCTTACGTCCTCTGCCGTCTGTAAATTGAAAAACTCTCTAAAAAATACATCTATTACAGTAACTAAATTTATTATAAACCTTACGAACTCCTTTTTATTCATATTGTCATAAACATATTTGTACAGTACTGTAATTATCACACACTTAAACAAAAGACTGGATGCCACTTTGTAAGTTCAACTACTTGTATATCGATGAGAACCTCAGCTAGATCTACAATGTCTCTGAGATCATGAGTCTTGCGTGCAAGCAACAACATGGGGTGCACAACACAGCAAAATTCAAGCCTCACCACATTAATTTCTGGGGTGTACTGTACTGTACTATGGTTGTATAGTACTTAATACTGTGAATGGTAAGCCTGTAACTGAACAGTACTGTTGAAGATAACATTATTCTGCTTATGTCACCCAAGGCAGGGCTAGTCTCTCTCTCGATCGAAGATTGATTGTGGCAAATACATCCCTGGTGATGTACCACCTTAGGTGATGTCACTGAATTGATTCTTGATGAGTGTTATGGTACAAACTTAAGCATCTAAGCTCTTCAGGACAGAGTGAATGTATTTATGCCTAGACAAAGTGTGTACAGGATTTGTCAAATAAACTTATTCTCCAGCCATATGTGTGGTGACCTTTGCTTCTTATACAGTACAGTACAGCACCTTTATGTAATTGAGGCCCACAGAACCTAAGTAGGACAAGCGCTGTAAATGAAAGAGAAAAATGCCATTGAAGTTTGCAGCAAACCTTCAAATTATCATAACTCAGGAACCAGTGAAGATATTGAAGTAAATCAAGTGTTAGATTATAGCAACGTTAGTGTAGGTTTAATTGATACTAGTGAGAGACACGATAATGTATTGTTTTCTGGGGAGACTGATGCTTGTTTTACTATGCTCCTATGGAAGGGGGTCACTACATACCACCAGGTTAGTTACTGTGCCATATAGTGATTACTGTAATAGATGAATGGTTTAATGGAGTGCCACATTAAGCCATAAATACGAAATAAAAAAAAAGTTCAGCAATCCGACTTCAGAAAAAACAAGATCCCCCAGAAGCTGCTCTTTCATGTCAACATTCTGACCACAGTCTTCCATGGAACCCATCACTGATTATTATATACAGGCAGTCCCTGAGTTACAACTGTCTGACTTATGTAATATACAGGCAGTCCCTGAGTTACAACTGTCTGACTTATGTAATATACAAGCAGTCCCTGAGTTACAACTGTCTGACTTACGGTCATCAGCACTCACAAATGGGATCCCAATAAAATTCATCAAATTTGTTTTTAATTAATATCCTATTTTTTTCATTATTTTTATTATTCCATGTTGTTTACCTAACATCACTTTATTTACAGTATTTGTTGTGTTTGGGATATTATTGTTGTTTTGTAGGCTGGGTTGTGCTTTAACCTAACCAAAACTATGGAATTAACACTTTTCTCACTTATGATCAGGGTCCAGGAGAGTATCCCCGTCGTAAGTCTGGGACTGCTTTACAGTATTTCTTTAATATCTTTACAAATAACATATTTATCATTAAGCTGCTCATAACCACTCACCGTCCACTGCTTCTATTTCCTCATTTGTAAGTATTTTTGCACAGCCGAAGTCTGTAATTTTGATGTGCATGTGTTCATCTAGGAGAATGTTTTCAGGTTTAAGATCCCTGGAAAGAAATTTTTCATCAGTTACCAGGAAATTTATGGCATGTCAAAATTCCTTATGTACAGTCAACTACTAAAGTCTGTTCGCCTCTCTCTCCCCGAACCACGAATCCCGACATTCAGACTCGTGAAGCTGAAGCAGTAGACTGATATAATAATCTGTCCATAAATGCTTCGGATTCATGACTCTGAATTTTAGGGTTTGTGGTTCAGGTAGAGAGGCTAACAGACTGTACTCACGCTTAATTGTAAGCTAAATATACAGCTTTCTGAACATAAAGGAAGACAAAAAATATTTGTACATAAATTGATTATTTTAGGTGTGTGTGTGTGTGTGTGTGTAATAATAATAATAATAATTAACGGTTTATTGAAAGAGCTTGGCAGCCAGAAGGCTGAAAATATGGGTTTCGAATTACAAATAATATACAAATAACATAAGTGATATAAATAAGATGTATAATAACTAGATGGGGAAAAGCTCAAACTACAGGGCATTTCAACATAGTGACAGTGCAAGAAGTAGTATTTACTGGGTGTGAATACACTGGTTTATTACAAGTTATTGATAATTTTTACAATGGTTGGGACTGGGCTGTTCTTATAGCGATCAGTTTGTGCATGTATGGGCTGGATGCGGTTGTGGTGTCGAACAGCAATTCTCGGGCTAGGGATCTCAGGTGGTAGTAGGAGCCGGTGTCGAGGATGGTGTAGAAGCTTCTTACCAAATTTGCAGATGAGGTCGTGGTGATGGTCAGTGAGAGTCGAAAGGGTCAGTGTGTTGAGCGCTTCTTGATATGTGTGTGTGTATTCACCGATAACATTATCCCTTCACTTTATATATACTATTATAAACACGTGTGTGTGTGTGTGTGTGTGTGTGTGTGTGTGTGTGTGTGTGTGTGTGTGTGTATTCACCTATAACATTATCCCTTCACTTTATATATACTATTATAAACCGTGTGTGTGTGTGTGTGTGTGTGTGTGTGTGTATTCACCTATAACATTATCCCTTCACTTTATATATACTATTATAAACACGTGTGTGTGTGTGTGTGTGTGTGTGTGTGTGTGTGTGTGTGTGTGTGTGTGTGTGTGTGTATTCACCTATAACATTATCCCTTCACTTTATATACTATTATAAACACGTGTGTGTGTGTGTATTCACCTAACATTATCCCTTCACTTTATATATACTATTATAAATACGTTGTGTGTGTGTGTGTGTGTATTCACCTATAACATTATCCCTTCACTTTATATATACTATTATAAACACGTGTGTGTGTGTATTCACCTATAACATTATCCCTTCACTTTATATATACTATATAAACACGTGTGTGTGTGTGTGTGTGTATTCACCTATAACATTATCCTTCACTATATATACTATATAAACCGTGTGTGTGTGTGTGTGTATTCACCTATAACATTATCCCTTCACTTTATATATACTATTATAAACACGTGTGTGTGTGTGTGTGTGTGTGTGTGTATTCACCTATAACATTATCCTTCACTTTATATATACTAAACGTGTGTGTGTGTATTCACCTATTATCCTTCACTTTATATATACTGTATAAACCGTGTGTCTGTGTGTGTGTGTGTATTCACCTATAACATTATCCCTTCACTTTATATATACTGTATAAACACGTGTGTGTGTGTGTGTGTGTGTATTCACCTATAACATTATCCCTTCACTTTATATATACTATTATAAACACGTGTGTCTGTGTGTGTGTGTGTATTCACCTATAACATTATCCCTTCACTTTATATATACTATTATAAACACGTGTGTGTGTGTGTGTGTGTGTGTGTGTTTGTGTATTCACCTATAACATTATCCCTTCACTTTATATATACTATTATAAACGCGTGTGTGTGTGTGTGTGTGTGTGTGTGTGTGTGTGCGCGCGTGCGTGTTTTTGCTTCATCCCCTTTTTCACATACAAAGATGAAAATTGTGAAGGTTATGTAATTGAAGGTGGGTCAACCTCACTAAAATTATGATATCCTTGTGTAAATTACCCTGAGAAAATAAACCTGGGTGATGCTACGTTTCCCCAGCTGTGGTATTATTAATTTTGTTAACATGAACTTCACCTGACCATGGAAAAGACACAGACTATGTGGCTGCAGTACAAATTCTGGTTAAATATTACTTCATAAAACAAAAAGCATCAATCCCGGGGAAAGCCAGATACAGTACACCAGCTAGTGGATAATTAACATCATAACTGAGGCACACAGAACCTAAGTAGAACAAGCTCTGCAAATGAAAAACAGAAAAAACAGTTAAAGTTTGTGCCGAACTTTCAAATTACCATAACTTTGGAATCAGTAAAGATATTGGTTGATTCAATTGTCAAATTATGTCATTGTTAGTGTAGATTTAATTAATACTAGTGAAAGATGTCATATGTATTGTTCTCAGGTCATAACAGTACTTGTCCTATTATAGTTCTGTGCTCCTCAAATCAAGACTGGATTTATGGTCACATGAAGTTTTATGCCATACTTAAAGGGCATAGAAGAAACACTTTACTGTACTGTACTCACCGGTGAATTATGTTTAGTGAATGCAGATGCTCGAGTGCTCTTACAAGCTCGGCAGTATAGAACCGTGCACATTCTCTGTCAAAATTACCAACTCTCTGTATTAAGTTCAAAAGTTCCCCATTCTTGCAATAGGTCATGACAAAATCTGAAGGTAAGTTTAAGGAATAAACATTTATTATTATTAAAGATTGAAAAATAATCTTTGCTAAATACATGATAAAGACAGTCCCAAATTTACAAAAAAAGGTTTCATACTTGAAAAAATCCGTAAATTATTTTTTCATAAATTGGATCCCATTTTCCCACAGGTTGTGAAAAATTTTTATATTTTTTATACATCCCATTCTTTTTACATCAAAACCTTGGAAAAAAAAATTGTACCTCCGGATTATTGTAAATCAGGGACTGTCTGTATTCCTACATCATATCCTATTCTAACTTAAACTAACAGGGGCTGATCCAGGAATATCAAAGGAAAGAGTCCATCATGTTGTGGGTAGGGTAACATGGCGAGCATAGTGAGCCCACCCAGCAGAGCACCAGGGGTCGGGGGGGTTGCTGTAAGCTCCCCGCCAAAAAAAAAAAAATTAAATCGGATCAATATTATGGGCATTTTGAGGCCATGTGCACTTGATATTAGGAGATATTCTGAGTTCAATAGTAATTACTTTTACAATACTGCAATAACGAAAAGTACAGTCAGTCCTCGACTTATGACGGGGTTAGGGACCAACGATCAGGTCGTAAGTCGAAAATGCACGAATAATACATAGAAAATCTAAAATGGGTGTCTTTTTTCTTCTCAGCACCACAAGAACTCTCACTTTTACGCTTGCCAGCCATTTTAACCCTTAGGCCCCGGGTGACGTTCCAGAACGTCCGCCTATCTTCCCGCCATTTGGGGGGGCGAAATGTTGATTTTTTTCTCAATTTAACCCCGTGTGAGGGGTACTGCCAGCAGCACCCTAACCCGGGGCTTAAGGGTAAAAGGGAATTACAAACAAAAATTTTGTCAGTACACAGCGCGATCACTAACGTCGGGACTCGAAAATATATAATTTGAAAAATATTTTATATGACTCTGGCGGTCGTATGTCCGGATGGTCGTAAGTCGAGGAGTACCTGTATCGGAATTTTCTGATGAAAAGGGGGATCCGGACCCCCAGGACGCCCCCTCCCCCGATCTGCCCCTGCCTAACTTATCATAACATAATATAATATAATATAACCAAACCTAACATAACTTAAAATAAAAATGGTTGCCCTTCGTGTTCGAGGATGGCCGGCCCAAGGGCCACCTAAGCGTAAATTTGTTTAAGGTGTAGAAGCTGTTGCCAACACAACAACCACACCCTGAGTTAACGAGTTGCATGACCCAGCGTTAAGGAATAGTCTGAGAAGACTGGACAACTCGCCAACTGCACTGGCTAACCATTACCCCGGAACACGATCCACAAATCAATTAACATCCAAGTCCCCAATTACTGCTGGGTAGACAAAGGCAAATGGCGGAAATAAACTTGCCCATAGCTTCATCCTGCCCGGGGATCGAACCCAGGTTCACCTCACCTAACCTAACCTAACCTGTTGATACTGTAAAGAATATAGACACATTAGAACAAGCAAAAAGGATACAAAGTTTGTGTTCCCCCTGAAATGCATAAGACAGTTTAACAAAGAACGGAGCCTTGGGGTTCTGGTTACTGTTGAGTAGATTCATGACATCTTTCTCTCTGGTTATTTGCTGCACTTTCTTCTCCCGTATAATGAGCTGCTTCTCACACACCTTCACTGCAGAGACAGAGAAAAGGAAAATCATCAACATTAAGCTGAACAGTTGTTATAATGGTTGTCCTGGTTTACAAGCCACCCACTAGTTGTGTTGATCATGTGATGCCTTCAGGTCTGTAAGCCATATTCATAAGAGACAAAATTATGGAGGAAATATTTGGTCTCGAATTTATAAAGGGAAGAGACAGGAGCTACTACACAAGTTCCTTTAATAACAGAAGTCATTAATTCTAGGAGGATAATTCACTGTCATATAACAGGAAAAGAATAGAGACAAGCCCTCATCTAACTGCTCTCAAAATGCCTGACCATCCATAAAATAATAGATAATCAATTCACTTTAACCAAGAACAGGTGACAAAGCCGTGAGATGCTTGTTTCCAATAGACTCCTTACTCCAGCAGCATCTGGTGTTGTAAGGACCACCCATCCTAGTAATGAACTGTAATAAACAGACCCAACGCTGCTTATCTTCACTTATAAGACAAGAAGCGGTGTTTACAATGTTTTGGGGTTTTTACCAGGTACTACAAATGAAATAAATTCCATTGCTTCACTTAAAAGTATACATTGAGCTTACCTGCATATTCATGATTTGTGTGGATGTCCTTTGCAAGATAAACCTGAAAAAAAAATAATTACACATGTATATTATGAATAATATATTATGTGCCTTGAAAGCAAAAATGACATGTATATACTGTATATATTATAAAGGACAGTACTATATCTTAATGTTTTACTTACACTCGAAAAACTTCCCTCTCCTATGAGCTTGCCAAAGATGAAGTCCAGGTCTGATCGCTTATCTCCCATACTTTTTGTACTCTGATGGAAGACAACAGATCAAGACAGTACTCTCAGAAACTACAACAATTGTTTATTAACAGAATGCAATTAAAATCATGTCATCCTCAGTTGCTTCAAACATTTTTCTCTAAAAATCATTAAATAGATTCAACTACTGTACTGTACTAAAGTCCGTTCACCTCTACTCCTGAACCACGAACCCCAAGATTCAGACTCATGAACCCGAAGCAACAGACTGATGCATTATTCTGTCCATAAATGCTTCAGGGGTTTGTGGTTCAGGGGGAGAGGCAATGGGAGTTTTGTGGGTGACTGTACAGTTTTCCGTACAGTATCATGACTGATGAAGAAGTCGTAACCTACAACTTGGACACTTGAGAATGTACAGTACAGTACTGTATAAATAGTGTGTACCTTTTCTACCCTTGGTGATCGTGGCATGCTGGAGCCGTCTGATGATATTCTAAAAGGAAACAAAAAGGCAAATTTATTAAAGAACAACACTAGACAGGGAGGGGCTTCACATCTAACAGACCCTCAATAAAATGGACTTTCATCTCCATATAGTTTGTTAAATAGAGGTTTTGCTGTATTACTCAATGGCTAAAAAAACAAAAACAGTACAGTACAGTACGGTACATCACAGTATATACTTTCATGAGTTACTGCCTGTACTAGACGATTACCATAATATAATTTAACAATAAAATAAATTTCATACCGAAAGTACAATTCCTCACCTGCTGCTGTTGCCATTAATTTGTTGATTTGGAGCAAGTTTGTTTATGCCACGTTCTGTCTCCATTGTCATACCATAGTCTGTCGGAGGAACTAGAATAATAGCATCACTGAAAAGGTCTTTAAAGCAAAAGTGAACAGCAGTTTCTTTCTATGGGCATTTTATTTACCATCGTGGCAACATTAGAATAATATTACTCATAGAACAATCAATTAATCATAGTACAGGGTACCTTGCTCATATCTGAGGGTTGGCGACCACAGTCCCTCCACTCTAAACATTCTCGGCCTGTTGTTACCAATCCTCTAATGTTTTATATCTCTCTGGGGACCCAGTTTTTATTTTCACTCATACATCCCCAGTCTCTGCCTTCCCCTGGCCCTCCTACCCTCAACTTTGCCCTTTAATATTTCTGTTATTATCTCTTCATCCCTAATTACTGTACATGACCAAACTATCTCATATTTCTTTTTCTGTACATTTCAAGTATTTCTCTTTAATGTTTTGCTAATCTTAATACCATATTTTACAACATATGGCACATTTTCTTGTCTGAAAAATGGCAAAAAAATTCAGCCTGCATCCTACATGTGAAGTTGATGTCTCCCATAAGCTAATGAATCCCCCAGTTCCTGTCTCCAATAGACTAAATTCTACCTAACTCAACTGCAAATTTAAAAATATGTTATTGCTTACTTAAACACATTAATATTAATTTTAATAAAATAAAAAAATAATTATTGTATACAGTATAAAAAAGCTCGATTTATAACTACTGTACTTTTACTTACTTTCTTTTATCCTCTTCACCAATGATCGGCTCGTTAGCCGCTTGGGTGATCGGTCACGTCTGTTACGCACTGTTAGCAAGTACTGGGCATGCACCGGCTCCTGAATGTATTTGAACCTGCTCCAGTGCTTGTTAATTCTGGTCTTGAAAGAGCTCACACTCAGTGCCGTCACAACACTTTCTGGTAGATTGTTCCGAGAGTTCATAACTCTCACTTCGAAAAAGTTACACCTCACGGATTTTTGGGCTTGCGGTTTCTTCAACCTTGAGCTGTTACCCCTTGTGGGGCAAGTGTCCGCCAGCTCCAGCCTTATGGTTATCCAGCATAAAGCAAAATCCTTGTTTAATGATTTAAAGGCAGCAGAGGGTGAAGTATCGAAGTATGAGATCTTTACGGCCAGCCGAGGATAGTTTCAATGTTTTAAGCACCGTTATAACTTCCATAATATTAAGATGACTGGTGAAGCTGCTTGTTCAGATACGGTTGCTGCCGAGATATTCCCGCCGAAGTTCAAAAGCATTATGGAGGAAGGAGGCTACTCAGTGAAGCAAGTCTTCAATGTGGATGAGACTGGTCTCTTTTGGAAGAGAATGCCCAAGAGAACCTACATCTTCAAGGAAGAAAGAAGAGCGACAGGTTTTAAAGCAGCAAAAGACCACTTGACGCTGCTGCTTATCGCAAACACTGTTGGCGACTTCAAGCTGAAGCCTATGCTAATTTTTCGCGCTGCCAACTCACGTGTCATGAAGGGTTACTCTAAGGATCATCTGCCTGTTATCTACAAGGCAAATAAGAAGGCGAGGATAACCAACGCCATATTTAGCCAGTGGTTAACTTTGTACACCGTCCCTGCACTGAAGGATTATTGTGCCAAGGAGAACCTGGACTTCAAAATTCTTCTTGTCATTGACAATGCTCCAGCGCATCCTCCCAGTCTTGATGGCTTACATGACAATGTTCGAATTGTCTTCCTGCTCCCCAACACAACAGCACTACTGCAGCCTATGGAACAAGGTGTTATCGCCGCATTCAAGGCATATTATTTATGGCATACCATGGACCAACTGCTCAAGGCTACCGACGGAGAAAATAAACCTACGATCCGAGACTATTGGCAGGGCTTCAACATTCTTCATGCAATTGACAACATTGGCAAGGCATGGGAAGAAGTTTCAGAAAGTTGCCTGAATGGTGTGTGGCGTAAGTTATGGCCCGAGTGCGTGAACAGTTTTATGGGATTCACAGACTTAGTCCCATCTGTGAATAGGGATATCCTCAGCTTGGCTAGACAGGCAGGCTTTCATGAGTTGGAATCTGAGGATATTGAGCAAGTCCTGGCATTCCATACAGAAGAGCTTACTAATGAAAATCTGCAACTGCTAACAAAACACAGTGCCGCTGAAGACGACGACAAAGACGAAGAACCACAACTACCAAGAGGATGGCAGAAGCGTTCGACATGATCCAGCAAGGTATACAAATCTTTATTGATGACAACCCAAACAAAGAACATAGCTCAAAGATTGTATGCAACATGGAGGAAACTCTTAGTTGCTATAATGAGATATACAAGGGCATAAAAAATAGTAACACCAAGCAGTCAACGCTGGATTTTTTTCCGTCGCCGGAAGGCAGAAGCAGTGCTCTTCACAACATCCTGCAAGCGAGGAGCAACCAGCAGTGGAGGAACCCCAGTTAGAGCGGGAGGAAGAGCCACCAGCCGGGTCTCAGTGACTCACCACCCTCCTCCTCCGCTCCACTACCCACCACACACTCGCTTCACCAACTCCGTCCATCAGTGAATACAATACAAAATGATTTAGTTTATTTATATATCCTATTTCTATAAAAATGCCATTGAATTTCTGTATATGTACTGTATTTTATGGGGCAAAGGGAGGCTGGGGAACGTAAATTCCGCATTTTATCTATTTATTATGGGGAAAATTGATTCCATTAACGTTGTTTCCGTTAACGTTGCAGTTTTCAGGAACGAAACCACGACGTTAAGCAAGGACTTACTGTACACTGTATTTTGCAGGGTGTGGTTAGAAATGTCATTGTTTACACGCTGCTTGCCTCCTCCTGGGTGGGAGGTAGAGCGGATGGAGGGTGAGCCGCTGCCCCCTGGCTCTGTGTCGGCACTCTTGCTTCCACTACCCTCCCCCTGGATAATAACCCATGTACATACGTTCCTCCTCGATTCCTCCCTCCTCTGCTTCAAGCCCTGCAGGAGCTTCTTGAGCTGTTCCCTCTGCATTACCGTGCGGTCTGGATGAATGAATAAATTCCGAAATGCCTCACACCGTGCTAAGTTCTTCAATTCAAGTTACAGTATTTATAACCTCTTCTGCGGTCACTGATATCACTATGAACTGTCTTAACTAAAGGCACAATACTACACTCTTTGGTTGGCCTTTCGATGGTCAGTCACAGCCGTGAACACAACTCAAAAATTAGAAATTAAAATCTTGTCACATGACAATGGTTGTATGCCTCCCGACCTGGGCTGTACCTCCAGTCAGCACGACCCGCTGACTTAACCTAAGACGATTAATGTCCGTACAGCAGACACCCAACTCTTCAAAGATAGCTAAAGGCGCCCACATACTATCATATATGTTTGTCAAATATGAAATTTGATCATACAATTTGAGTGTGCGGGCAAGTTTGAAAAAGATTAAACAAGTTTGGTATTTTCTCGTCCAACATGACATTTGTCAAACATGTTGGGTAGCGTGTGGCAATGTATAATCAAACATGCTCAGTGAAGTAGCGGTAGCCATGGCGATCGCACGGGACTCCCATGAGTTTGGAGAGTTTATTAAACTTTATAAACAGTTTCCATCATTGTGGCAGATAAAAAGTGAAGATTACAAGAATAGATCTCTTAACCCTTAAGCCACGGTTGAAGTTCCCGAACGCCGGACCGGCGCACCCCGGGTGACGTTCCAGAACATGCGCCTTTTCCCTCCACTGTTTAAATGCCCAGCACGGGTTATCAGATTCCAGTGTGGCCACACGCTTGGCCACAGGGAAGCTGTTGTATCTAAATAATATTGCTAAAAGTAGTGTAGTTGTATTTTTTTTTTTTACGGGGATTAGCCCACCTGGGTACAGGTCACTGACCCACATCGGGCCCTGGGGGCGAAATTGCAGTAGTAGTAATAATAATAATAATAATAATAATAATAATAATAATAATAATAATAATAATAATAATAATAATAATAATAATAATAATAATAATAATAATTCATAGTAAATAAAATTTATAATAAAAATAAAATAAAATAATAATGATAGCAATAATAATAATCACACTAATAACAATAATAAATACAGTGGTCCCTCGGTTAACGAGCACAATTATTTCCAGAAGGTTGCTCGTTAACCGAAAAATTCGTTAACCGAAACTATTGTTTCAATGGGTTGGGTAATTGGTTCCAGCTCACCGAAAATTGCCTAAGATCAACAAAAAAGGTAGTAAAGTACACTTACTTTGAGGTGTGTATGTAGAAGGCTCCTCGATGATGATGATGGGAATTAGAATGGGGGTGGAGGAGAAGGGAGAAGAGAAGGCATTGGGGTGGAAGAGAAGTCACCCCATGGCACCATTTCACCCATAAAATTTTAGTTCTCTTGGTGTAATTCAAGATTATTTTCTTTAAATCAACACTGCACTGCAATATATATTGTCAATATGTAAAATAAATTTCAAATTGACCAATAATTTGCTTGGAAACACAGAAAAAAAGCGTTTAGTTGAAGAGTTTCAAGCAAGATGTTACCTCCACTGAAAAGACAGAGACTGATGCCTGTTTGGTGTGTTGACAGGCTGTTTGGCACGCATAAAACTAGTTTCCTGTACTTCAATTATGTTCAATAATTGTTAAAATGACTAAAAAATTAATATTAAACTTTTAAAATTATTGAATAGTATAAACTTCTTGATATTTACTAAAATAGTAAGGAATTTAAGCCCTAGAACCGATTACTGTATTGGCGGACTAATACTACAGCTGGTGGACCGCCAAATGCAAGCGAAAACATGTGGAAGGTCGCTCGTTAAAAACTCGTTAATTGAGGGATTGCTCGTTAACCGAAGTTAAGAATCTTATTGAAGGTAAACCGTTAACCGAAACTAGTTAACCGAGGCGCTCGTTAACCGAGGGATCACTGTAATAATAAAGAACTATAAAGAAATACAAAAATTAAAAAGAAAAATTAAATAGTGAGAAACGATATACATTATGTATGTTGTGTTGTCGAAGTACAAGAAACAATTGAAGCCCTGCAAT